TATGAATAACATTATAGGTGTAAAAGTACATCAGATATGTGAAATCTGCATAGACTATACACAAACTGTACGTGTGAACCTCTTGATTTAAGGTTAATTCAGATTTCGTCGTCAATTTATGCTTTCTTCAGAAGCTTCCTAAGATGCTTGTTCACTCTGTTTACGGTTGTTGTCGTTGTATCATTCTATGACATGCGCCTGGATGCTAACAGCTCATTATTAACATACCTCTATCTTGTCTACGAATAACAATATTATTGTTGCTTTTTAGGTTTCTCAACACTAATCTGTGCTCTTTAGTGAACACCTTCTGATACTGCTTCTTTGCACAAACAATGTTCAAGTTTAATTCAGGAATTACCTGTAAGAGTGAACTAGAAAGATAGCCATGAACTCACTTTACAGCCCTATTCCTGCGGAAATACTGATGACCCGTTGTGAACAAACAAGATTAAAATCTGAATTAGAGAAGATTACGTATCACTCCAGGTTTGGGAAAGACACATTTATCTTTTTGCAGTAATTTAAATCATGCTTTCACGATGTTTGAAAAACTGAATGTAGCCTACTTCCACATTAAGTTTATAGCGGATTATGAAGAAAACAACCAGTTCAACATTCTGGATGTTAACATAAAACGAAGAGATTATAGAACTATTAGTAAGACTACCTAAAGAAAAGAAGCCTGAAAATGGTTTATAGGCTAATGGTGTTGACTTCAACGGATAGTACGAAGTATACTAACGCACGATCTAACACCCACGGCTTCTGTAGTATTCGTTCTGCGTAAACCAAAGGCAAAGCGATACTCCAGAATTGACCGTTCAAATTATGAATTATATTTCGGCAACTATCGGAGTGCTAGATGATTGCTTAGTTAGCTAGGGATCGTGCACGAACGAACGAACGTGACAAGATGGAGTACCGAATGGCGTGGATGCTTGACCGAAGCCTTCAGCCAAACAAATCGACTGGAACAGTGAGGGTCAGCACCCAATGTTCAGTGATAAATGCTGTGGCCAGTAATTCTGGTGAATTGCCTACCACTGCAATCGTAATACTTCAATCATCACAGCTTTCTCCAGCCCGTTAAAAACGCTTCCTAGTCGAAAACAAGGACGATATGTTCAGAAAATAAGATTTATTAAACGTTCATGAGTGGTGGAAAGAATCTTATAGAGAATGGAAATCCTAAAAGGTTCATAATGAAATATGCAAAAGAGAAAATGTCCAGGCTGAACTGAGTAATATTTGCAGGAAGAAATACCAAGAAGACTCGAAAATGTCGTTTCCTACATGCTGTAGCTAGTACATTGGAAGTAATGATAGAAGAGCACCCACTAGGTTGTCTTGAACAAACCACTGTTATCAAACGATTTCAACCTAACCTTTGAATACAGAAAGTTAGTGCGATTAACGCTGCACTAACCTGATAACTATATCTACTTTTGTTTTCATTTTCAGCTTTTTCAAAATCTATGCTTGATTTTATTTGCACTCAGTAAGTTGAACTTATTATTAAGCTTCCAATTTACTTACATGTCTGTTTATTTGATAATTTTACTTTTCCTTAACCTCTCTTTTGACTCACTGCATCTTCTGCTAACTTTCCATCTTACTACGTATACGTAAACCCAAGTTTCTCCACTATTTATTAACTCGTATTCATATGTCTTATTGTGCGTCGGTGGCGTAGCGGTTAGCACGCTCGCCGACCATGCACAAGGTCCGGGGTTCGATCCCCGGCTGACGCACTCCTTTACTTCGCTAAGCCAGAACTAAAGCTGGTGAAGAGGGAAGGTGGGGTGTGGGGCTAGTCAGCCCATCCTGTAAAAATAAACACTGCAACAGAAACTTCAAGCCTCTAGCTTAAAGACCTATGTTCCACTGGGAACGTGAAGGAATAAAAAAGGTACGTCTTATTCCATAAATTTGCAGAGAAATAAGAAGTACTGTTTGAGCTGAATTACTTTTGAAATACGTTATGCATTTACATTTATAATAACTTGAGTGATTTTTAGGATGTTAGCAGGTGAAATGAAGTTTTGAAATAAAATTGGCTTATAGTACATTATTCACGGCACCGAAATAAACCTAGGGCTAAAATTAATAGACCTAGTCCATTATTTCCTTAGGTTCCAAGTGGAACACTGGCTTTCAACAACAGTTCGCCATTTTATCCTGTTCTTTCCAGTCCTTTTTAGCTAGATTGACGACTACCTCAAGGATTTCACCTCCTCCCCATACGATTTCCTCTATGTCACAGTCAGATACACGCCCAACTCGTTGTTTTCCATTTGTGTTCTACTTGAGGTTGTGCCTGGGGCATGATTTCACTCAGAAGTCTCTTCAGAGTGAGTCCAATCAATCTCCATTTTATCCGACATATTTTTTGATCAGTAGGTTCTTGATTGGATCGTTCCTTGAGTTTCTTGTTGCTAATTCTTTCTGGACATCTAATCCTCAGTATGGAGCGAAGGCAGCTTTTGATAAAAGCCATCCTAGTTTTATAGTCCGGTGATTTTCTGGCGATTCCTAAACTCCAGAAGAGCGGGAAGGTTGAGCGCAGGGATAGAGACGCTCCCCTGGAAAACCAACCCAATCACTACAGAAGCTTGAAAGCACAACAAAAATATTTAAAAAATCCAACCGAATGAACTTAATATTAAGTAACTGAACGTCTAGCCTGCCTACAGACGCTTTAAGTTTCATTCTAATGAGTACACATCCGTACAGACTGGAACACAGACCCTGAGACCGTAATTCAGTCATGTCAGCCACATAAAATCTAAATTTTCTCCCTTAAACAAACATAATTTTTTATTCTATTTCGATACATTCCTCATTAGAGCACACTATTAAATAACGAAGTGTTTTTGATTTCCGTTATATTATCAGTGTCTACAAATCACGCAGATTACTAATTGATTGACTTGTTAGATATACTACGTCTAGTAAGGCTGGTATAGTGTAGCTAATCAGTAGCACTATCAGAAGGTACAATCTCTTTTTATCCTGTCAGACCTTTCTTTTTTGTTTTAATCATCAAATGAATTCACTGGTATAAATGTATCAGATAAATGAACCTACATTTATGTAACGGGAACAATTTTAGAAAATCACTCCTGGACGATCTAATCAGAAGGTTTATACTTATTCGTGTGTTTTAGCTAACTTTGTAATGATTATTAGTTTCTCTTCTAGACCGTATATCGTTGTTATAGCTTTTTCATATCATATGTTAACCTGATCCTTATTATTTGTCCTTGACTACGTTAACTCCTAGCTTAGTGTACTGCTCAGCAGTTCGCTCCGTCATCCTCTATGGCTCTGACACATGGCCAATACGAATTGAAGACATGAAAAGGTTGACTGTTTTTGATCACAGATGTCTACGATCTTTTTCTCACGTTAGGTGGTATAATAAGTTAAGTAATGTTGACGTTAGGCGTAGAGTATTGGGCAAAGAGGGAAAATCAATCGAAGAGGCTATAAAGTTACATAGATTGAGATGGCTAGGTCACGTGCTGCGCATGCCTAACCATCGCCTCCCCCTCCCGACGGGCATTACTAGCTGATATAGGTGCAGGTTGGAAAAGAGTAAGTGGTGGCCAAACAGAAACATGGCCTCATCAATCCATGAAATCCTTCACAGTTAAACTGAGTCAGGTAGGGAGATGCAAACTTCCGGGTTGGGGCCCGCACTCGGGACTCTAAGAATCAATGGCTCGAGACAATAGGTGACATGGCTCAAAATCGTTGTCAATGGCTTACGCAGATGTATTCAGTCTCTGTAATCTTTCATGTTCCTTTCTACCATTACTCATTCTGTTTCAATCTTATACTTATCTAAATTCTATTGATTCTCTTCTCTCCTTTTCCTGTCTACCTTTGTGTGCTATTTGGAACGTGGCAACTCGAACCGCTGCACTTCGGTGCCAAGTTCTATGTTGAATCCAGGCAGACAGATAGACCATTTAATCTCTAATTTGAATACTTCTTTTTGTGTTTGTGTGATACATCCTGAGTGTGTTGTTTTACGATATGTTTTTTTGAATGAACCAAGGTGATTCTGAGTTTGAACTCTCTACGGAATGAAGTTCTTGATCCCACCTTGTTTGAAATATTCTGCTTGATTCTCGAGTACTTGTTACAGATGAATTTTTGTTAACTAATTATGTTCTGCAGTGCTTGTTTCGCACGTAGAAAATTATCCTGCTTGTATAACTGACTAACGGCATTGTTGAGGTAATTTTGAGTTTTTGATGTTATTATTGTTGAACAGAACCACACACAGATTCCTTTTGAAGCGTTTTGTGACTAGGCGTGTCTCAAAGAAGTTTTTTTAGCTATATAGTAAGACTCAGAGATCGGTTTCTTGCGTTCAGATCACAACAAATCGGCTTCAGTTGTAACAATTTTTATATGAAATAGAGAAGTGCAATGGAATGAATAGTTATAACATAACCCTTAATTGTGACCAACTCACAAAACAGTTCTGACAGAAATTTCATCAAAAACTGTTTTTAAATAGTTTTTATTCAGTAATCACTGATATATAGTCTCTCATAATGAAGAAATACACTGTTATCTGCCTCATACAAAGTATTAACAGAATAGATTGATTTATATTAGCAATAATGTGGCCTACTTACTGCTTATTGATAATTTAAATTCATGAAAATATTGATTTTTAATAACGTATGAATTATTATTATTATTCTGTGTAGTGGAATGTGTAGTTTAGTTATAAGTTTTTAGACCTCCTAATCCAGTGTGGTATTCATGTTTGTTCTATGTTATTTCTTTGAAATGTTTGGTAAGTAATCCACAACGGTTTTCTCAACAACAAAACAACAACAAAATTACTTTAGTTCTTTTTACCCTGAATACTACACAAATATTCACAAATGGATTAAATCTATCGCAGAGAGAGATTTTGTATCCCTATTGAACATAAAGGAATTATTCAGATTATTTGAAGAACTAGATTACTTGTCATGCAAGTTGTTTCACACGATAAAGCATCATCCTCACCATCATTATCATCATCATCACCAGCAGCACTGTCGTCTTCACAAATGGTTATAACAACACCAGTTACAATGACAACAGCTATTCATCCTGGTTCACCAGGATTCACATTACCACCTAAAATAGGTACATTAATTCCAAATCGTATATTTGTTGGCGGGATTAATTCAAATGTAAGAAATGATTGAATTTCATTCGAATAGTTGTTATAATTCTTCTTTTTTTTCAATATTCAACAGACAACTGAAGATGAATTGCGTACATTTTTCTCAACCTATGGAGTTATTAAAGATGTAAAAATTATCAATGATAAATCTGCTCAGTCGAAAGGCACTTATGGTTTTGTTACATTTGAAAATCAAGAGATAGCTGAAAAAATAATTAAAAATGAGGTAAATATATTTTCTGGATTGGATGGAGGATTTCATCATGAGCTGACATCGGTTAGAGAACCATTGGAAAACCACCTGAAAGTACTGGACAGTTGTTTCGTCCTAGCTTGGGACTCTTCATCAGTACGAACCCACACCGCAGAGTTAGAACTCAGGACTTTCTGGTTACAAGGCTAGCGAGCCCGTAGACCATTGCGCCACTGGGACCCAATCCAACGGCCAACGCATGAATTCTAACTTCTTCCAATTCACGACATAGCGCGACCATTTCGCAATGTCTTCTTCCATGAGTTACTACCTCACGAAATGGGACATTGAATGGAGTCCCAGTGGCTCAGTAGTCTACGAGCTCGCTGGCCGTGTAAGCCGTGTCCTGGGTTCGGACCCCGCGGTGTGGGTGCGTACTGATAAAGAGTCCCAAACTAGGACGAAACAGCTGTCCTGCTCCCAGGTGGTTTTCCAATGGTTCTCTAACCAATGTCAGCTCATGACGAAATCCTCCATCTAATGAAACAAAATCCCTACAAAACCAATACTTGAAAATTTATTTTTGCCTAAATTTTTTCTATTTCTTTTTCTTTTCGCTAATTTTCTCTATAGGCTGAATCATTAATATTTAAAGATAGAAAGTTGAATATTGGTTATGCTGTTCGTAAACAAGTAAGTGAAATGAGATAGTCAAGAGATGAGTAAATTAATACCAACAATCAGGTTTTCTTCTTCTTGTCTTCTTTTTTCTTCCCTATTTAGAATGTATTTTCAAAACAAGGTAAGCCTTCAAAAAACAACTTCAACTCTTTATTATTCAGAAATGGGTAATACATATTTTCTAGCACATAATGTCTGTCCAATGACCAATGGATTATCAATGTTTCAAATGTGTCCACATGAATGCTCATTTGTAGCTATGAATCAGGTAATGTTATGTTAATTTGTTTATTAATGTATAGATATGTATATATACTCAGGCAGTTGTAGATTTGAATTCTGTAGACCTTTTATAACTATAAGCTACTACGTTGTATAGGCTAACATCTAATTCAACAATTCATATGAGTCCACTCTTCTAATAGCAATTCAAAACACATTGTTTCATTTTTGATTGCACACTAGTCAGTAACTAGTCTAATGCGTCTAGTCCTATCTTCGGTGCAGACTGAATTCTATCAGTCATGCTTCACAGTGCACCGTCATGGTGACCACATAGCAAGCATGACTGACAGAATTCAGTCTGCACTGAAGATAGGACTAGACACATTAGACTAGTTACTGACTAGTGTGCAATCAAAAATATCCAATACAGTCCTAGAGGAGGTCAGCCACGAGCCTGAATAGCTCAATGGTAACGTCTCTGGCTGGGTGACGCGGGTTCAAACCTCAGAAGGGACACGAGTACCTGAAAGGATGCAGATACGCCTTGCTGATGAGTGCCAACTAGCACGAAACTTAGGTCAGGCAAGGCATCCTGCCGATTGCCTCCAACCATCTAATACATTGTTTCATTATTTGTCTGCGTAACTATGTTCATCTTTCTTATAAAGTATAACTAATTAAATGTGTTTGAAACATTAGTATCATCTAAAGTACGCTTACTCTTTATGAAAGCACCCTCATTAATTGTGGATTATTATAATTCTTATTCCCTTGCCTTCCAAGTGGAATATAGGGCTTCAAAAGCACATCTCTATTTTGTCTTGTCCACCGTATTTCTTCACAATCCTCAATGGTTTTTCACTCCCTCCTCACATGATTTCTTCCATATTACCCTCAGATACTCAACCTGTTATTTCTCATTCACCTGCCACTCGAGAGCCTGTCGCCAGATGTCACTGATTGGTCTCCTCAACGTGTGTCAAATCCATCTCCACTTTCTTCTGAATATTTTCTGAACATTAGCTTCTTGATTCTCTCGTTCCCAGAGTTTCCTGTTGCTAATTCTTTTCGGCTACCTATTCTTCAGTATGGAGTCAGCGGAGTCAGCTGCTGAGAATTTCTTCAGCAAATGCTGGAAATGCTCTTCGTGGCGCACTAGGTTTCTGACTTATTAAGAAGAACTGACTGACTTAAGTTTGATGTTGAAAATCTTAATTTTGTTCTTTATGTTGAGTGAAGCAGATAAGTGAAGAAGGTGATCTCTTTCAAATTTCTTCTGTTAATGTTGATTAGTGCTTACTGTTGTTGTTGGTTAGTCATCTCCATCATCTCTGTTTTCTCTGTGTTTGCTCGAAGTCATGTTTTCTCTGCCAGCCCCTTCTGCCAACTAGATTGTTATAGCCTGTAAGTTTCTAGTTTCCGTGACATTAGACACAAATCCTTCGCGAAGTCCATATCTTCTAGAGTCTTCTTGTCGATCAAACGTATTCCTGTCCTCTTTGATCCTCAGGTACGGCGTTCCGCATGATCCACTCCACTACGATGAGGGATATTATCAGTGATATTGGGCATTGCTGCATTACTCCTATCTTCGCTTCAGACGTTTCACAGAGTTTTCCGGTGCCTTTGGCATATTAGTGCAGGAAATCTGACTGTATACCATCATTCTTTCGTACAGATGTTCCCAATTAAAAATTCTGGGATAGTTAATTAGAAATCTCGAAGCACATGCATCACGAGAGGCTCATAACATAGTTTGAATTCTGATGTGTCAGCCATTTAAAAAATAAATATTTTGTAGGTTAAAAGGAATGGTGTTTCATAGAAGATTCAAAAGTTAAGTGTTTTAGTAGAATCAAACGTAGCGTAATTTGATGTCGGTCAATTTAAACCAGTTTTTTTTCATTTCCAAGTCAGACATAAAGCTTTAGTCTTTTGAATTTCTGGTAGAGGTGCTATTGTTTGTGTATGGGACGGGCTTTTCATCTCAAATCTTTTTCAGGATTACTGCCCGCTAATAAACTAGATGAGAAGTGGGTCAGCCAGGGGTCGAACCTTAACCTCCCACTTGGCTGGCGAGCATTCTGCTATTGGGTCACAGACTCACGTTTAAACCAGTACATACACTAATTTTAACAGATCACATGGCACAAACCATTCGGTATTCATACCAGCTATTCTTGATATAAATAGATCAACAGAGGTGTTTCCTTGCACAATAATCAATGACACTAACTTCAATATGCAAACAAAAATGAATTCCTCTCGCGCATTATGAAGGTAGTTTTGATCAGCAGGAATGACCATGAAAATTGGATTCAAAAGAATCACAATAGTTTCAAATGACGACTCAATTATCCAAAAATATTTATGGAAAGATATCATAAATTGTGTCACACTTTTGGTTGTAACTGTAGGTAACTCCAATCGATTAATTAAACCCTATCGTTTGAGTTACGCGTAAAATCGGAAAGCACAGGTTTTGTCTAAAGTATAGTAACATACTATATATATATATATATATATATATATATAAATTAATGAAATATAATACAGTAGTCTCAAATTGTGAGTCATCTGTAGCTGAATCCTGTCAAATGCAGTGTCACTGAGTGTCAGTAAGAAAGAAAAAAGAGAAAAACTATGTCAAGGGCAATCCACGGTCAGTTTAGACAGCACGCGCGTGTCAGACAAGGAATAAAAGAACTTGAATAAACCTTATTTAGCAGTGAGGAGTATATAAATAAAACATATACAGTAGATACTGTTTATCTGTAAGAAAAGAATAACTGTATATCAAATAGAGTATTGATACACTAACTGAGATAAACTTCAATAGCAAACAAATGTTATGTTCATAGAGTAACAAAATGTCAGCTGATACTACTTACTAATGACAGGTAGTATAAAGTTGGAAACAAAAGAAAGAATAACAAAGGACAGAAAATGAATTAACATTGACACTATGTACAAAACTATAATTAATACGACAAGTCTCATTTGATGAACACGAATTGGATTACTCATACATGCAGACTTAGTTAAGCAGCTATATTGTAGAAATAAATTAATTCCAGGGAATAACTTCATGTTTATGAGTTGTGTTGTGTACTCAGTGATATGAGGATTATATTAATATCGTATTTAATTGGTGGATGGTGACTAGCAGTGGAATCCAGGATAACACGCATTTCGTCCTATTTGGGACTCTTCATATGGATGTACCTGCATTTCTCAGTGAGTGATGTTGTTCCCACCGAGGCTTGAACCCAGCGCCCATAGTTTCAAACGCCAAAGCGTTATCCACCAGACAACTTGAGCCACGAGAGCCATCTCTTGTGCAACGGGTCATATTAATTTAATTTTAGATTTTCCCGTCGATTGATGCTCAGACATCGTCGAAGCATCTGCACAAGAAGCCGACATATCAACCTGAGACCAAGCACTTCGGTCCAATCAATCGACGGGAAAATCTAAAATTCAATTAAATATATATTAATATCGATCTACTGAGAAAGATTTATGCTAGAAGAGCAGTTTAGTCGTAATTTTCTAATCATTAACACGACTAATATCCATAAGATGAAATAACTATTTTCAATAAACCGCTTTATACTTTTAGCCTGCTATCTACTATCCAACGACGTCAACAACATTGTTGGTGCCTCAGTGTACACCAACAATTCAAGAATTGAATACACCACTTCATGTTAAATATAATAATACGCATAAACCAAATCCACAATGCTGCTTTAATTCAAATTTATCAAATATACCATTTATGAGTTATTTATGCACACATAATATGATGTCTGGTCAAAAACCTCAATTAATAACAAATATAGGGACAACAATACCAGAAGTATCACCAGTAGTTCTACAGGGGATAACAATGAATTCAAATGACCAACTGTTGAATAATGATTTGAAAAATGAACCTTCAACAAATTCTGCAACTCCAAATGTATCAAATCAATTAAAAACTTCGGAAATGAATGTTAATGGCTTAAATGAGAGTTCATTCACTACATTCCCATCAACTTTTGTAAACTCACCATCTTCAATAATATCATCAACAGAAGCACCAGCATTTATAACGTCCAGCCAGCAGAAAACATTTCCTCCCTTGACATCACCTTCAGCCTATTCCCTACCGACTATAAATGCATATCAGAATCAAAATATACCAACTACAAAGTATCCATGTTTATGCATTAAACCAGAAGATGCAATCAGATGGACAGATGTCTCACAGAACCCGCCTACTACATATCTATGCGATACTTCACTGACAAAAAATTATGATAATGGTCAAATACTAGTTGGTACTGCTACTACTACTAATGCTCCAACTGCCGCTCCCAGTCCTACAACAACAACAAAGACTGCAACTCATACTGATACATGCGGTATTGATAATCCTGCCTTATCAAATCTACCACAGCATTGGAATCATTTATTATCTCAGTCAAATCAAAATCAGAATGCACCAATATATTCAAACCAAGCACTAGCTACTCAAATGAAATCAGTAGTAAAACAACAACAACAATCAGAAATATCATCAGATATATTTGATAAACGAATAGATATCACAAATAGTAATAACAGTCAGTCAGAATCCCTGTTAATGAAAATATTACCATCATATTATGCACAAAATAAAGAAGGATCATTAATTAACAGTCAAAATAATAAAAATGATGATTATGGCCCTGTAAACTGCACTAATAACAGTAGTAATAATAATACTATAAATACAGAACGACATAATCCACTAAATAATTTATGGAATATAAAACCCGATAATGAAGATTTACAAGGTAAACCTCATCGAATTATGTCCAACAAGGATAACACTGATGATATGAGATATGCAAAACAAGTAAGTGGTTACAAATAAAGCCAATGTTAAGAGATTAGTTGAAGAAGGTTTCCTTTATCACCCAAAGTTATAAATCAGTTAAACATAATTGCAGAAGACGCGGCAAACAGTGACCATTTTTCTGTATGTCTTCTAACACAATTTATTGAACAGAATGAAAATTGTTTCACACAGTATTTAAATATAAACATGAGGTATTATCTGTGGTCAAGATCTCATCAGTATGTGTATCACTGTGCACTGCATCAAATGTACGAACAAAACATGGCACTGCAGGTTCACTAGTGACTACTGGATGAATATCCGGAGATTTCAATGAGACGTTGTGGGCGGTAGCGTCTGTCATGACAGGGTGAAGTGAATGATAGTCCAAGACATTAGTCTTAGTCTTTGGTAGAGCTATATCGCAAACTGACGGAAGTTACAACTCACCGATCACTGAATTCTAACCGAAAGGCTGAATAGCCACTTAGTTGACTTCTCCAACTGGAGGTCTAGGGTTCGGCTCCCAGTAGGCTGATACTGAAGCACTGGTGAGACATCTCAAACTAGGACAAAACAGTTGTCCAGTGATCTGTGTTGATCCAGTGGTTGTGTAACTGATGTTGGTGACGATGTTGTGACGAAATCTGTACTGAAATCATTTTTTTGTTTAAATCTTAACAAGACATAAGATAGATTTATTTTGCATTATTAATCCCGCGGGGTTAAGAGTCGAAGGTACGGCTTCAAACTCACATCTCCATATTATCCTGTTCTCTGTAATCACCTTTACCTGACTCTACGATTGATCATAGGCTCCTATCTCCTCCATGTCATCTTCGAACCAAAGACAAACTCGTCATTTCCAATTCGCGTCCCACTCGAGGGTGTGCCTGTCACAGTCTCCTCAAGGTATGTCCTACCCATATCCATTTTCTCCGGGATAGGTTAGTTCCTAAAGTTTCTTGTTTCCAATTCTTCCCAACCGTCTGATCATCAGTAAAGAGCCAGCGAAGTAAGTTGTTAATAGAAGTCTGTAGCAGGCTGTTAGTAATGCCTGTGGTAATGTATCCATCAGCTAGATAATTAATTTATATTCATAAAGTACATAAAAAGTGTTTAATTGTGTTTTACAATATTCACTCTCAAAATGTAAATTGATTATCATCTACTGACACTGGATTAACGAGATCTTTGCTTAGAAACGAATTACTTGTTGAAAGATCCAAGTTAAACAGAATCACATCTAAAAGTATGCCTGTGATAAAATTAAATATGAACAATTAAAGTGAGAATTCGTGATATTTAGAACAACAATTCTACACTGCAGTTTACTCAGATGCGTAAAGGCATTTACAGTAAAGAAAAAAGTCATTTTTAGCGCCTTAATTAACATTATATACACCTTTAGTATTTCCTTTGCAGTTAAACATTGTCATACCACTTCATAATCTACAACGTCGAGTGCCATCCTTAGGTCATGAAGTAAGACAAGTGCCAGATTATAGAAAACATATGCATCACCTTTGTTTTGAAGATAAGGAGATTACAGGTTGAATGTGTTAACCAGTTTACTTAATTGATAAATAATATCATTCATAACAGGGTGATTAGTAAAGCGATCGTTACACCGATACTGAAATTATTTAGAGATTTGTTCACCAGAGATAAACACAAGATGTCGGATTTCGTATGAGGTCAGGCTTTTTGTGTTCCCAGCAGAACGACGCTGCTGTTGTAGATGAAAGAGATGATATATTTACATTTTTTATTTTAATTCCTCTTGTAAAATTGTTAGCACGTGACGTTCATGGAGATATAAATGAGTAGGGCAAACCAGCTGATATCATAAATCTTTGTTAAATAAATGTGGTGAAATGTGATGAATTGACTTAGCTATTAGTCTGTATCATGTAAAGAAGTGTAGGATGTCTGATAAAGAACCAAATTTTAGGAACCAATGGCTGGAAGTTCTTAGTGGCACAATTAATTAACCATAGTGGTTAACAATGTAACGAATCTTCAGCATTTCCCGGAGTTCCAAGCAATCCATTTACCTTTATTTTACTTCCTCCTTATTACCATTCACAGTTGTTTACGACATTATCTTTTTACATTCCTTTGCATTCTAAGTGAGATGTAAGCCTTTAAATGCCAAGTAAAAATGGAGTTGTTTGTTTACTGGGTAGGATCGCCAGTCAAATGCTCAACCTTCCTTCCTTCAAAGGCTTACTATCCACCAGTAGCAAACTTGGTGGATTAGGAGTATGTTAGCCTGGAATGGAGCCAAGACCACCTGAGTAACTGACGCACATTATCATAAAGCTACTGTTTACACAAAATCTGAACTGATTCAGTTACGTATGACTGTATTTTCCTGCCCAATATTGTAATACTTAATACGGAAGATAGAATGCAAATATTTGTGACCAAAAACACTTAACATTTACATATCTTCCACTTTCACTTGCTATGTATCATAGCTATGAAGGAAAACAAAGCGAACTTCCGCGTAGTACAAACATTCTTTGCCCAACAATCGAATATTACATCTACGCCAGAGACTACACAAGTTGGCAAATGACACAAGAGACTTTTGTATTCCTGATGACATTTCGTTAGCAATCAGTCCATCAACTCAAATGGAACTTCAAAAATCAGTGGAGTAGTCAGCACACTGTATCACTTCACTCCCTGTCTTATACAGAAACTACAGTTTATGCTATTCTAATCAAGGCGAAGTTCAGCAATAGCGTCCCAGGATTGTGAACGCTCCAATGACCTTGAACGCATTCTAGTCGTTGGTCAACGGCATCTGTCACTATCACAGCTGGAATATCAACGCTATTCACCAACTTAGGAGCAAATTTGCCCCAGATCATGTTTTTAAGTACTGTTTGGACAATGTGATAATAGCTCGTTAGGGTTAGGATTAGGATTATGATTAGCATTTCGGTTAGAATTACGGTTTGAATAAGGGTTATGATTAGGGTTAGGATTAAGGTTAGGTATAGTGTTAGGGTCAGGATTAAGCTTATGGTTACAATTAGGGATAGGTTTATGGTTGATGTCATTTATTTTAATGTTTTTTATTATCCACGTTTTCCTGGTAAGTAGTCGTCTATCCTCTTGCTGGAAACCATGATAATTCAACGGAGGGCTTTTTTGGAAGACTGCAAGCAGTATGAGAGAGATAAACGATTCACAAAAACAGTTTATCTGTAGTCATCTAGGTGAATACATGTACAGAAACTAGTCTAACTCAGCAACTGATACTCCTCCTTACAACTAAGACGTATTTTTAAGCCATGTCACAGAAAGATAACCTGTTTCATGCGTCACCCTGTCAACATACATCATTTTTTGAGCAAACATTCCTCATTTTCATGATTGGTCAGCTGAAGGTCATTCGTACGTTCACACTCCTGGGACGCTATTGCTGAACTTTTCCCTAATCAAATGGACAACTAATACACAGTTAGGGCTAGATTATTCCTAGCTTGATATAGATACGTACTGTTCCTTAATTCATACAGATAATAACCACAAATGCGAAATGAAGCGAATGTATCTGGTGAAATTTTTTTGGTTGGGTATTCCTCACTAATTATCTTTATTTTAGTATTTAGAAAAAAATTATAATCACACTTTTTTTGCATAGAATGAAAAGTCAGATCAACTCGACTGCAATACAAATACAAGAGTACAAATGCAAGACGCCAATAAAATCACACCGATTTCATGTGTGGATAACTTTCATGAAGAACAATTGTCCACTGATCAAAATGTTGAACAAAACTTCTATAACCTATTAAAATATTTTGAAGAACTATTTGGGAAACAAATAGATACAAATTCACAAGTAGAAATGAATGAGAAAAGAACTACTTCAGGAAATACTTCATTGCAAAACTTTGTAAGTTTACTTTGAAAAAGAATGATTTTATTTGTAAAATTGATGTTTTGTTCACCTAGTGAAAGCCTGATTTAAATTAACTTCATGAATTTATAACGTCACAATGTAACCTGACTACTATTGGACATAACGAAATGCAAGATTGTACTGACTCTAGCAATCGTGTAAAATCAATCGAACGTGATGTTCAGTTATTTCACGTAATTTAAAGTTACATAGACAAACCGGTTGTTGAAGCCAACTAGCCAAAGTTGAAAATCTTTGAGCTTAATTTGTGATTTGCAAGCTGCATGGTTTGTGGTGAAAATTCATTAAGTTTGCTTTTAGAAAGCAAAATTGTTAAGTCACAATACGTGATATACCTGTTACTAAAAATGGTAATCAAAGAATATGGCAAGGCAGAATATGCTGCTAATTGTTGTGAGTATTAAAAAACGACTCACACAGAAAAATGGTAGTGCCTTTTAGTCAAATTTGAGTAATCTTACCGAAAGACAGTTGTTTTACTCACTTAATGTCGAATCAGTTGGGGCTACTCGATCTGCCTAGCAAGCATCACTGTTTGACGCAAGTAGTCTCCATCAGTCATCAGTATACCTACCCTCTTAGACCTCCTTTGTCATGAACAGTGAAAATGTATGAAAGTATTGGTAGAAGGATGTGTAGGGTATTTCTTAAAGTCAATCTGGATATTAAAAATACATTCAATATCTACTTTTTTTTAAACTTTTGAATGCAAGTTAACAACCTTCCAGTACTTTTCTCTACATTTATGTCATTCTTTCTGTCTTCACAGTTAAGTCATTAAATTGACTAAAGTTTTCTATCTTTACAATTAAAAAAACAGTAGTAAGTTACACATTTCTGTGAAGGATAGTCTGGAAAAGTTTCAACCATCGGACTAGTACTGCTGAGTTAATAACATTGAAGTATACTCAGGTAATGACATAGAAAGACACTATGTGCGTCGGTGGCACAGTGGTTAGGACTCTCGCCGACCATGCACATGGTCTGAGGTTTGAGCCCCTGCCGGCGCACACCCGATATCTATGGTCGGCCTGCAAAATTTGGGCTACCGATATCCATGCTGAAAATGCCATACTTGTACTGAAAATACGGTGTGGCATCAAGCTGTAACCAATATAAAAAATAAAATAAATAAAAATAATATAAATAGAACAGACTATAATGACCCTAAAGAACATTATTTTTAAGCAGTAGTAATATCAGCCTATTTGAGATACATTAGAGAATTTTACAATCTAACAGTAAGTGCTTAATCCTTAGTATATTTTGTTAACAAACGATAAAAGATTTTCACGTGAAAAATGAAGATATTTTTGGAAATCCTCCGCCAAGATTATAGCTATACTTGTTACGGCTATTAGCATTGAAAATAAATAACCTGATAACCAGAAAGTGTACATGTGATATGGAGAAATCGAAAGAACACTTTACACTATAAATAGCTCTTGAGCATGAGTATTTCGTAATATCAATATTAAAAGTAAGATTTAGGAATGATTCTGTACAAATTTATAGTTAATGTTATTACTTGGTTGGAGGACTTCATCATGAGCTGACATCACTTAGAGAGCAAATGAAAAACCTGGGAGCACTGGACAAATGCTTCGTCCCAGTTGCGGACTCTTCATCAGTACCCACCCAAACTATTACGAAACAACTGTTCAGTACTCCCAGTTGGTTTTCCAATGGTTCTCCAACTGATGTCAGTCCACGATGAAATCCTCCAACCAATCAAACTAAATCCCTACAAAAACCAATCCTTGAAAATGTTATTACTATTATTTGCCTCTTCTGTTTAGAATGAAAAGTAGGGCTTCAGCAGAACATCTCAATGTCTTCTGTTGTCTTTCTTAGTTGGCTCCATCTTCAGTTGTCTTTAGTGTAGTAGTAGAGCACTTTGCCACATTAATTCGGGTGTTAAAATGTTTCTTTTGCAAGTATTCTTAGCTAATTCAATAAACAAAGCACCAATCAGCAGTCTCTCCTAGCATTCTTGAACATTTGATTTTATGACGGTCACTTTTATCAGTCATATGATATGTCTGGGTGTGACTACAATTAGTGCTGTAACTGAGCTTTTTTTATCATTCATGTCTCAGTGAGTTCGTGTAATCATAACTCACCAGGCTAAGTTTTCGAGCTCGGATAATGGAGTTAACGACTGGCCTACTACTTTGACCTGTTATTATTGTTGTACTCCAAGTGGTACAAAGATCGTCAGCAGGACATTTCTACTGCGCTCACTTCTTCGTCATTACTTTCATCTAGGTCAATTACTGCCCACAGACTTTCATTTTTTTTCTTTCATGCTAACTTCAGACGTCCAACCTATCACTTCCCATTCGGATCCCACTCTAAGGCATGTCTGACGTGGGATTTCAACCAGAGGTCTCCTTAGCGCATATCCAAACCATCTTCACTTCTTTCCTACTGCATATTTGCTGGGAAATGTGTATTTGGCTGGTTCACTACTAGCCAGAGTTCTTCCTTGCTTATCCTTGTCTGTTGGCCATCTGATCTCCAGTATCGAGCGAAGGTATCTGTTGATGACAGGCACGCTAAGTCCCTGAACTATATAGAAGCACTGAATGACTTGATATTTGTATTAAAAATCCGGATATTGTTTCTAGCACTGCAGCTCTCCAAATTAATTTCAGGATGGTGAAAACCCATCTACTTCTTCGATCCGATCACCGAAGGTTTTCACATACTCATCTATGTCACTTCTAGTCGCAACTATGGTTCCCAAGTAAGTGAAACAATTAACTTCCTTCTAACGGATACCCGTGGTACAAGAGGCAGCTGTCATTGATGAGTGACCTAGTGAATATCGCTTTAGCGTTTGAAACAATGGATGCCGGGCTCCAGTCTCAGTGGGAATACCACTCACCACTCACTGGGGATTCAAGTACATTTAGCTGACGGTTGCCAGACACAACAGACCCCGCATTTTCGACTCTGCTACTAGCTACGATTAACCGAATGACATCATGTTTACTGTCAAACAATGTCTAAGAGTTCATACTAGGAGGCGATATGTGAACAGAAGCCATGTATTTTGTCCCAATATAATCAATCACAACAGAAAACAAAGTAGTAATCGATTGTAAATAAAAGGATCATTGTTGTTTACAAAGCCCATATACTCACTTCACAACTTCTCTTTATGTGTTATCTATCCCCCAATAGCATTTATTGAACAATCCTTCTAATTCAAATGAAAATGAAAACAATATCTCCTCACATGAAACGTGTTTAGGAGACATTAATTTACTAAATGACAATAACAATAACAATAATCATCATGAACTAGGGGAAAAGAATTCGATCAATTCAAAATCTTTCCTACGGAAAACAATAAATGATACTGTCAATATTAAAAATAAATCGTACCTCAATGGTTCAATTGAAAAGATGGCGGACAATAATTCAAAACGTTTAACAACACCAAAAACCGCCGATACTACTACTATTACTATGAATTCTTACAATTCATATTTATTACAAAAACTAAAAGATGAATCTTCTAAAGAAAATCAACACAACCAGACCATAAATGGGAAAAAAGATAATCATAGCTATAAAAAATTCCAACTGAAATCGAATACCAATCCAGGAAAAACATCAAACATTAGTAAAAGTATTAATAATAATAATAATGGCTTAACTTTAAAGAATCCAAAACGATCATCATTAAAACAATGAAATAGTTATTCATTTTAAACCACAACAGCAGCAACAGCAACAAAAATATTTAATATCAGGCAAGAAATCTAAAAATACATTTTCAACATTATATCAACGAAAAAAGAGCAGTATGAAATAGCCTAAAATGATACTGAATTCAGTCGCAATGAAAATCTTACAAATTAAACAAAAACTTTTTAAAAAAATTAAAAGTACAATTAAAATTTCAAATTTACGCCAACTTTTTATTTATGTTATTATTAAAACAAAATAAAATTGACAGTTGAACAACTGTTTTAACCAAAATGTAACAACAATGTTCTATTGTACAAAAATTGTTGTCTGATGAATAAAGTTTAGTTGAATTATTCTTTTAATGTTTAAAACATAAATTATTTCATGAGATATTGACACTTTTTCTTGTGAAAATGCGGATCTAGTTAGACTTAATAAGCTGAATGTAAACAAGAATCCTTTGAGGTGAATAAAAATAATACACAGGTACTATAACATCTTGTCAAGCGTTCGTCTGCAGGGATCTGATCGGTTACAGGTTTGAGGTGACATCACTTGAAGAAACATTTAAAAACTAAGGATTTGTGGGCAGCTCTTTCATCCGGGGGTTCTAGTAAGAAATCACACCTAGCAGAGTCCACCGAGTTAGGCAAGAGAACAGTAACTTGGCTAAGAAAATCACTGGTAGTTGCGCTTTATATTGTGAGTCGGTAGAAGTTGGAGATCATGGGCCAGTGAATGTGAATGGTCTACAAGCTTGCCTTGGAATCAGAAGGTTCAGGATTCGAGTACACATGGATTCGCAGTTCTAAAGAGTCACAGACTGGGACGAAACAGCTGTCCAGTACTCCTTGGTTTTCTGACAGTTCTCTAACTGATGTCAGCTAGTGATCAAACCTGTAAAACATTTTGCACTCAACCTTTTCTTTTCACAATATTGTATGTTCTGTCGTTGCTTCCACATGCTGTCACCATCATCATGGTTAAATCGACTGATTATATATTTAAACACCTGTCTATTCATTCATCTGTAGGAAAAGATTCTTACTATTCCAGAGGGAATAACTAAGTACATATCTTCAATGAAATCCCACAATCAATGCTTATATTACATAAATTATGAACCTAAAGGTGACCTAGAGATTATCATCAATAAAGAGTAAATGAACTCACATCTTAAGTTTTGTTCAAATGTATAAGTATTAGCTCATTATAACATGACAATGATGGCATATTCATATTTCAACATAGAAAAAATCCCCATTTAGACATTTTGAAAACAGAAAGATTGAGTGAAGAAATATTTACTTTACAATTGGATCCGCATCTCTGGCTCTACTCTAATATACACGTATAGCATTTTTATTATAATACGCAACAATTTACCAAACAAGTGGCGATATGTTTGTTAACAACAATTAGTCAGTGTCAACATGTCAACTGGTTGATAATTAACGAAGAAAATCAATGCACATTTAAAAGGTAGAAATGGTTAGAATAAAAATAATTTTACAAGGATAACACGTAATTAAAGATAAAGTGGTCAGAAAAATAATTTAGACAATTATAATTTTTATAATTTTTAAGGTTTAGGGGGAAAGGGGAGAAGTAGTCCGGTTTACACATTCATGCAATGATGGCCAAGGCAAGGAAAGTGGCTGCACAAATTTCTTCTGAAGACACAGGTTTGGCTTCTTCAGGTGGATTCTTATTGCTTGAGCTGTCTGTAGAAGACGAACTCGTAGAGCAAAAATTAAGATTAGTATGAATGCGATAAATAATTTTAAATGCTGTATTAACATCAACCTTGTGCTCAGTATTTGCAAGGTGTGCTAAAATAGAGCTACGAATAGATCTTGTTTGTCTCTTGCTTAATCATGTTGGATGATGTTCGGAAATACGACAGTGAATCTGCCTAATTGTATGCCCAATGTAGCTGGCTACGCAGCTGCAGTCAAAATGGTAGATACACATAGAAGAGGCAAATTAAGGTAGTTTATCCTTATTTCTCGAACGTAGAATTGGGGTGGTTGCGAAGAGACAACGTACCTCTGCTGCATAATAAGCTCTTTTAACTACATTCTTCAGGCGCTGTATTATAATTTTGCTGATGTTGTCACCGAGGAACTGTAGTTTTATTAACATTGGTTTTTTCGGAACTGTTGCTATACTGACTCTCCTAGGTGTTGAATTCATATTTTTCTCAATGAATTTATCTGGCTAACCATTTCTCTCTCTCTAATTTTGACACTGACTAATTATTGTTAACAAACATATCGCCACTTGATTGGTAAATTGTTGTGTATTGTAGTAAAAATGCTATACGTGTATATTAGAGTAGAGCCAGAGATGAGGATCTAATTGAAAAGTAAATATTTCTCCTCTCAATCTTTCTGTTTTCTAAATATTCATATTTGACTTCGCATGGTATACTAACAGACGATGTATCATTAGATTATAATACTTTATACTTACATTAGATCATGAAAGTAAATTACGGCAGTTCTTACCCGGCATTCATAAAACTGTCAAGAGTTAATATTGCTCACCAGTTAAAAGGGGAGACAGGACGCAAATATCAGTGGTCAAAGACAGCTAGCCTCTTAAGGTCATTCACTTTCAACAGCCATATCCCATAATTCTGAAGAATGACAAGGTGAACTGCTGCACAGTATACATGCCTTGTGATCGATAACCAAATGTCATCCCTACGCAACCGATGACGTTATTGAGAAAATTTCATACGAGTCTTCATTATCCGTCCTGAGAATCTGTCAGCATTCAGCCAATTAAGGCTGATGTAACTTCCAAAATGAGTGAAGTATTCAACGCGCTCAACTATTTCATTACGTATCCTTAAGCGAGTTCTGTAGCAGCATCTTACATTTGACAGGGGCGAATCACATGCTTAAGGTGCCAAGATTTCGACTCAAGGTGTTCAGAACACTCTACATTTTGTCAACGTCTTCATCTAGAAGGGCTATGTCATCTGCGAACTGTACCCCGGTAACAAGTTATTCCCTAAATCGATAAAGTCAGTTAGAGTCAATTCCATTAGTACATCTATCATGAAATTAAACAAAAATGGAAACACTAGGTGTCTCTAACGGACACTACTCGTTATCACTACTTCAGATGATAACTCTCCATAAGCTCGTACACAGCTGCGTGAGTTTGAGTAGAGTGCCTTGACTACTGTGATATACATTCCCGACACTCCTTTATAGCAAGATACTGACACACCTCTCAGTCGACAGAGTCGAATAACACCTTCGGATTGAGGAATATGACAAGTGTTGAGAGCTGATAAGTGTAACGACAGAACACAGGAGGATTTAGTAAAGGAATTATCTACTGACCATTTTATGTACGGATAGAGGCAAAATACATTTACCACTTATTAAAATCACAATTTGGACGTGTATTCCGTATTGTGTTTCTTGGTCTTTCTTTCGTGTTTCCTATCTAGTTTCACAAGAATCATTCATTTCTTCTTTTCGCCTTTATATCCAGTTCTCGACTATTCTATGCTCTAGCACATTATATACATATTTATATCTGAATCTACAGACTACTTATAAATCTTGTCAGTAGCACATGCCACATAAGCACACGTTCCAAAATCTGTCGAAGAGTGAAAATATAGTGAAGACACTCTCTACTTGCACTAAGTAAGCGTTAAAAGAAATCGAAATTCAAATTTAATAAAGGAAGATGCTATAGATCTCTCCCTAACTTGATTACTTAACACTTGAACAATAATTGCTTATTAACCTTGAGCTTTCTTGAGATATCGTGATTTCACTACACATTTAAGTGTAGCAATTCATCATATTTTATTAACTTAATATTACAGTTCATCTGCAAACCACTACATTATCATTCTTCATTTTATGTTCAATAATTTTTTCCTAACGAACGACAGTATGTTAAGGTGTGGCATGTGCTATGGATAATATTTTGAAGTAGTATATTGTGTGTGTGTTTGATGTAACCTACAAGAATGCTGAATAATGGATATTATTATTATTGTATCCTTTAATTCCTAGAGGAACATAGGGCTTCAGTCGTGCGTCTCCATTGCGTTCAGTTCTCTGCTAGAGTCTTCACCTGGCTCCATGTCTGCCCACACGTTTTCATCTCCTCTTCACATGACCTCCTCCAAGTCACCCATGGACGACCAACTCGCCACTTCCCTTTCGGGTTCCACTCAAGGGCTTCTCTAGTGATGTCACTTGATAGTTTCGTTGGTGACATCACGATAGCCACGCCCTCGGTGTGCGAGTGGTTATCTTCTGGGTGACAGGAGTAGATCACTGACTCACCCGTTGACAATTTGGTTAGTCCATCGGCCTTCACATATCCCCAGTACTTGAATTCTGTATCTTTTCATTTCGTTTGCGATCTGGGCAGCTTTGCCGATCCCGTACATGGTGCGGACATTCCATGTCCCCACATAGACTTTTTCTTTTGGCTCAAAGAGATTCATCGTGCTGAAGTTTCTGTAGCAGCTTTGTTTATAGTGTGGGGTTGCTAGCCTCACGCCTGCTGAATAATGGAGCGACGGATTAAATGACGGAGAGAATAAATAAAAGATTGCTGTATGATACAATATAGAAGGCATGAAAAGAAGATAAAAGAAGCACAATACGAAGGAAATGTGCAAATGGTGATTTCAATGTATGAGGTTTCATCATTTTGCCAAATACTACCGTAGCATATATATATATGTCCATAGGCATAAAAACATCAAATGGCAGGGAGACAGATTTGATTTCAGAGTGAGCAAATGATCCAGTGTTGCAGAGATACATAGGAGACGTGAAAGGAACACAAAGAAACACACACACAATATGAAGGGAGGCCAGAAGTAGCACAACACGGAAGATCTGTACGAATGGTGCACTGCAGATAAGATGTATATAATTTGCCTGTATAGAGATACCAAATTGCAAAAAGAAAGTTTCTTGCCAAGTCTTTCTTCTTCTGCCTCTTTATCGTGTTCTGCGACTACAAAAATTCTAATAAAACTAATTACTTTCATTACCCAAGTCGTAAGTAACTGACGGGATACCAACGAAATATAATGGATCCGTCTTATCCTACTCCATTTTTGTTATTGCTTTGTTAAAATTCATTAAAAGGAAATTTGTGGGACATATATATGTAAACATACACGTGCAACGGCAGAACACAAGAATATTTGGCAACGGACTAATTTATTAGCATCTCGATATACAGTTATAATCAAAATACGTCTACCACATATATTAGAATCCCAATCTGCACATATCTTCTGTATTGTGTTACTTTAATCTTCCATATTTTGCTTCTTTGTCTTCCCTTCATTTTACCAATGCTGATCCACAAGAACCTTTCATTCCTTCTCTTTACCACTGAATCCGTCTCTTTGTTATTCGATATTCTTGTAGATGGTATACATATTTATGTATTCATCTACATACTACTTAAAAATCTTGTCAGTAGCACACGACACAAGTATGTACATGAAAATATATTTGTGTATGTTGGAATGAATCAACATAAAGGAGAGAAATTCTTAAATTTGATTTCATATTTGCAGGTAGCTTCCTTCGATAAGACTTATCTTTCAACCTACAGGAAAATTTTGTTCATGAGTAGCACCAATCGGCGAAAAATTCAAATTTTATATCAATAAGTTTCCATAAGAAGAATCTAGAAGCTCTGGATTTCGCAGATGATAGATGTCTAATGTCACAAAAACTCGAAGACTTACAGGCGAAAACCAACAAACTGGCTGAAGAAGCAGACAAGACTCAAGGTGAACACAGAGAAGACGGAGGTAATGAAGATAACCAACGAACACCAGCAACAACAACAACCAGCACCAGTCACCATCAACGGGAGAGATTTGAGTGAGGATACTTCCTTCACTTATCTGGCGAGGAAGCACAGTTTCAACCATATGCCGGGGGAAAGGATGAAGACGTCAAAGCTAGCCAGCCAGAATCCGGAAGGCAAGATACACCTTCAACAACCTGAAACCAGTTTGAAGACCTTCTGCACTGCACTCAGCCAGCATGAAGAACAAGATTCGGATTTTCAACACAGATATCAAGTCAGTCAGTTCTTTTATATGGGTCAGAAACTTGACCTGACTGTCACGAAAAGGATTTCCAACAAGTTACAGAATTTTATCAACAGCTGCCACCTTCACTGGCTCCATACGGAAGATCAAATGGTTGACCAGAAAGAATTAGTAACAAGAAACTCTGACTGGGAACAAACCAAACAAGAGGCGATCGCTCAACAAATATATATAGAAGAAAATGGAGATGGATCAGGGGGATACATTGAGGAAACCATCGAAAGACATCGCGCGCCAGGCCACAGCTCGAGTGGGATCCAAATAGGAAGCGACCGGTGGGTCGTCGGTGCGACAGTGACATAGATAGTGTGGCGAGGAGGAGATGAAAGATAATTGGTAATCGTGAACCCAGATGAAGAGGACAGCATAAAATAGAACAAAGTGGAGATGTATTGTTGAAGCCCTATATTCCACTCAGAACGCAAGGGAATAATAATAATAGTATGTTTCCATTTTTACTCCATCCCTCAACTTCCAGAATGTATTTAATAAACCCATCATTACAATATTAGCATTAAATGAGATATACATTTATCATCATCATCACAAGTACTATATGAGTTACATGAAAGAACATAACTGCGAGAAAGCAAATGGATGAGTAAAAAATTAAAACAAAACGTCAGTGAATCAACTAATTATATTGAGAAAATCGATTCGAAAAATAAAATAAGTATATTTTTTTGAAAAAAAAGTTATTTTTGGTATGTAAAACAAGAAAAAAAGAGAGTAACATTTCACAACATCTTCTCTTTTTAATTTTCTGATATATCCCAGGTGATTGTTTTAACATTCATAAATTCATGTAAAGCATGCGGTCCGCCTTCACGTCCAATACCTGAATTCTTAACTCCACCGAATGGTAGTTCAGGTGTACTAACGAACCCCGTGTTTAAACCAACCATTCCAACTTGTAATCTGTCTGCCATCCGCCAAGCTTGATTTATATTCTCTGTATAAATGTATCCAGCTAAACCATAGAATGTTTCATTCGCTGCCTCGATTACCTCTTCTTCACTTTTAAACCTAAATTTTAAAAAAATAGAAATTAAAATTTAGTGGAACACTATGCTACGGAGTCCTTCGCATTAAAAACGGGAGTAAGATAAACCTGCCTGATATCTGCAATGATTTGCCTCACTTCAATAGACTGGATAATGCGACAGACAGCGGGCAACAGGGAGACAGGCATAAAGTGGACTCACACAAAAAACTTGGAGGATCTGGACTTCAATGATGTTAAATACGTCTTATTTTCCACAAACTGGAAGAATTGCAAATGAAAAGCAACAAGTTGGCAGGAGAAGCATCCAGAGATGATAAGACTTCAGGTGAACATAGAAAAAAACAGAGGTGATGAAGATTCCCGGTCAACAGCAACGGCAACAACAACAGACCACAGTTAGCCAGCATAAATGGGAGAAATCTGAAAAAAGCAACCTCCCTTACCTACCTACTTACCTGGGAAGCATCGTTTCAACTACAGGCAGAACTGATGAGGATATCAATCCGAGGATCGGGAAAGCAAGGCAAGCTTTCATTTCTCTCAAGTCAACAACACTCAGCATGAAAAATAGGACCCGGATTTTCAACTCCGATGCAAAGTCAGTGCTACTTACTAAACGGATCAGAGAATTGGCGCCGCGTCACGAAGGGCAATTTGAACAAACTACATCAACAAACTTCATCAACAGCTGTCTTCGCTCAATACTACTCAGGATCAGAAGGGGACGTCCCCTTCGTCTTCGTATCCACGAACATAAGCTAGCTGTCAAAAGACATGATATCCACTCCCTCATATTACTACATACAGACAACCACGGACATCAATTCGACTGGGACAACGTTCAAATAGTAGACAGAGGAAACAACAAGAATGCTAGAGAATTTTTAGAAGCTTGGCATTCCAGTGAATCATCAATCAATAGACACATCGAGATAGACAAAATATATCAACCGATAAGAAAGAAACCTCACACACAAAGGATCAAAGTTCAAGTCAAAGAAACAATGAATTACAATACAAATAACCTAGAAGGTGTGGAAACACACAAAAACAACCAATCAAGTTCAAGGTCACCAGGAGAGATGATTAATAAACTCGTGGAAAAATCTGAAAGCTCACTTCAAATTGAAGTATGCACTGAAGATGTCACCTAGAAGGGCGATGAAAGCTTCGCAAATTAACTATCCAGCTCAGAGAACACAACCATATCAAAATCATCCACCTGAGCTACAAATATTCTCTATCATATCTGTATGATGATATTTACAGTAGACAAAAATGAATGGTGAGGAAAAAGATTAGGCACATAATTACTCCACCAAGAAGATGAACCCAATCACGTCAGTAATACTGTGGAAACAGTCAGAGGAAAATGAAGGAAATAAAAACAGTGTACGTGATACACAAACTGGATGTATGAGGGAATAAACAAAAAGTGACGAGATGCATTCAAAATTTTATGGAGTCTAACACTTGAATAGATGCTACCTGTGTGGCGTCGTTTCAACTACAAGTTGAGGCACGGATCAAGATGTCAAAGGCAACACAGACCTTCATTAATCTGAAATCAGTCTAGAAATCTACTATAAGATTCGGATTTCCAACAATAATGTCAAGTTAGTGCTTCAATACGCTCCAGAGACTTGATGCATAGCGAAAAGCATTTCCAATAGCCTGTCTCAGACTTTCATCAACAGATGCCTTCACTGGCTCGATAATGAAGATCAAATGGCAGGCCAGAAAGAATTAGCAACAAGTAACTCTGGGAACGAACCAATCAAGAACCTGTCACTCAGTGAATATGAAGAGGGAAATGGAGATGGGTCAGACACACTTTAAGGAAACCGTTGAGTAACATCGCGCGCAACGATCCCGAATCGAAAATGACAAGTTGGATGTAGGTTCAAGAGTAATATGGAGGAGAGACCGTGTGAGGAGGAGATAACAGCTTGTGGGAAATCATGGCGCCAGCTAAAAAGGACGGTAGATGACAGGACACAACAGAGATGTACTGTTGAAGTCCTGTGTTTCGGCCGGGATCTGGAGGAATTATAATAATAAAGCTTGAATATACCAGTGGTAAAAATGCGTTCATATATTACCTTCATTTGAATCATAACATCACTCTTCTGCACCCACCTCATACTGTCCTGTGTTACTACTGTCCATATGACTTCTTTGCCCTTCTTTTTATTACCTTCTCCTTGAAGTGAAATGAAATGTGGCAACTTAAACCACTACACAGCAGTTTCATGTCCTATAGAGATAATGCCAGTGAATCCACCTACACACAATTACTTACATATTACAAATAAAACCCAATGACTCAATGCCACCATGGATTTCCAATACTAACATCCTTATTTGTTTCCCAACATGTTTAGTCATCTGCACACTTACATTCCTTTGCATACCGAGTAGAACATAGAGCTTCAAGCTTGACCTTAAAAGTCTAAGTAGCAGCGGTGTTTTATGTGGCATGGGACTGTTTACCTCATACCCAAACACTCTGCTTTACCAGGCTTACCTATCGGCTAGTGGGATTTAAGAGTATATAGGGCGTGAGTCGAAACCGAGAAACGTGAGTGGTTTGCGAACATTTTACCACAAAACCAGCAACATATTTGCTTCGTCTCACTCCAAACGATACAGAACATGAAGGAAGACAGTACAGTACACTCTTAGTCGGTTCAGCTAGCATCCCCTCAAATTTCTCATGTAACTTTCTCCTAACCTCAGAAAGTTTCACACGGTGGTTTCATCAAACATAAACGAAACATTTCCTACAAAATTTTCAAATAAATACTTCCAAAAATTTATAAAAAGAAATAGAGTGATGCAATTTTATTTTCTGCTGCTTCTTCTCTCACCACCACCATACCTGCAAATCGATGCAACAGGTCCAAAAATTTCTTGTTCAATACATTCCATTTTTGTGTGACAATTCGATAGAACAGTTGCTGGATAAAAGTAACCCTTGGAATAATCAAAACCCGAGGAATCTTTACCCATTAATCTGCCTTGACCACCGACTATTGCTTGTGCACCACTTTTTATCGCTGAACGAACTAAACCATCTATCTAAAGAGTGAACAAAATAAGAAAATTGAAATACCACTTAATGATATGCGTATATAGACCTAATAACATAACAATTTTTACCTACACCTTATTTGTATTAAACATAATGCATTACACCTGTTGTATAACAACTACTGAACACATTATTCAGGGTTTCTTTCGCTCTATGAGTTCGAAGTGGAACATAGAGCTACTAACTTGAGGCCTCAAAGTTTCAGCAGCGATAGTATTGCTGTTACCAGTTGCGGGGTGGGAGGATTTGCTAGTCTCACACCTAACCTTCCCTCTCTTTCGGGTGCACTGTCGGCTAGCAAACTATATAAGGTTCAGGAATGCGTTGGTAGGAAATCGAACCCCCGACAATGTACGTGCGTTGCTGGTGATCATTCTACCAACGAACCATTGACACACACAGTATTGGGGTAGAATAAACAATTCACTGTTATTCAAGTATTGGTTTGTAGGGATTTAGTTTGATTGGTTACAGGATTTCATCATGAGCTGACATTGGTTAGAGAACCATCGGAAAACCTGGACAGCTGTTTCGTCCTAGTTTGGGACTCTTCATCGGGTCTCAGTGGCTTAATGGTTTACGAGCTTGCTTGTCTTGTAACCAGGAAGTCCTGGGTTCAAACCTCCTGTCGGTGGGTGCGTACTGATGAAGAGCCCCAAACTAGGGTGAAACACCTGTCCAGTAATCCCTGTTGATTTTCCAATGTTTCTCTAACCAATGTCAGCTCATGATGAAATCCTGTAACCAATTCAGTGTTACTTTCATGATGCCAAGTGTTGCAACAAATAACTACAAGAAACCAAAATACATACAGAAGTTGTCAAAGCAAAGTGAAATCTACCTAGTCAGATTTCAACTGTTATTCCTTCAATTTTAACAAACGAATAACCACAAAGAGTAGGCGTATGTTGACAACAACATTTGGCATTTTATGTGCTAATGAAATTCAGTTAACGTCAACTAATAGATTTCTGTTGACAATGTTCGAAGGTGGTACCACTCAGAAACAAGTGATTAGCATAGACTGAAAGGAAAGCTTACCACTTTTTGGTTCTTTAACTACGAAAGCCAAAGATTCTTCTAGGTTGTTTATCGATTGGACTTACTCTTCTAAAGTGAATAACTACTTATCATGGAAGTGGAAGTGCTTTTGGAAGTGTGTGGGCAGTTGTTACTTCCAGGCTGCCCACACCGTGAAAGTTGATTGATTCTTCGGGTACCTGAAACAGAAAGAGGGTTAGTGTTGCGTGACCACAGAGTCCAGGGGACAACTGCTTGAGGCCGGTCACACACGGCTGTATGTACTGGTTTCTGGAATTGGTTTTGTATTAGTAAACTTACCGCCGGTGACGGACCACCGTAGGGTAACTCGGGATGTACAATTTTTGAGGTCGACCTTTTCTAACCCCCTCTCTCAGGAGTGGAGAAACAGCATAGCTGGCATGCTGGTCATCTGAAGGAAACACCTCACTGCTGTTACACCCCTGTTCCCCAGCATAGCGTAAGAAAGATTCTTACACAATGACGGTAACTGCGTTTAGTCTAATCGCTATCCTAACAACCTTCCTAGCATGGTAGGACCTGCAGGAACATTGGTTCCAGCCAGTGCAGCTTGTTGGGTCATCGCGATGTGCAAGCCCGACCACCACATCAAGGTAGCAGCTATCGGTCGGGAACTATTTATCATAAAGTTCATGCATCTCCTTCCTTCATGTCTTTCTAAGATAATTTAACCAAACATTCCACAGGAAATATGCAGCTGTAGAATAAATCTTTCCCACAAATTGATTATGAAATTAACAAAGCATGATAAAAAAAACTCTGCCATCTAAGTAACATTCCAGAAATGCTTATCAGTTTTGATCTTGTATAGATTTTTCAGTTCTTTAGAATATTTTCTTTTCTTAACTGGATATGATGAAGTATACAACATCTAAAGTTAAACAATTCTCTTCATCAGAAGTTAATTGGTGGATGGTGACTAGCAGTGGAATCCAGGATGCGCATTTCGTCCTATTTGGGACTCGTCACTGGATGTGCCTGCATTCCCCAGTCAGTGAGTGATGATGTTTCCACTGAGGCTCTAGTGAATAACACTTAGACATTTGAAACTATGGTACTGGGTTACAGCCTCGGTGGGAACATAATCACTCGCTGCGGAATGCAGGTACATCCAGATGAAGAGTCCTAGATGGGACGAAACGCACATCCTGGATTCCACTGCTAGTCATCATCCACCAGTTAACTTCTAATTATAAGCCCAGATATTGTCAAAGGATCTGCACAAGAAGCCAACATGTCAACCTGAGACCGAGCACTTCGGTCCAGTCAATCGACGGGAAAATCTAAAATTGAATTAAATAATTCCCTTCACCATCATAATTAAAACACAGTTCATATATGATGTCATTGTTCTTATAATCGTTCGTCACCTCTTTAAATATGAAATGAGGTTATTATATGCAACGGAAGAGTAATTCTTAGGAAACAATTACTACCAATAACATTAGATTAGAATTCGTGAACATAACACAAGTTATTTAGTGATGATAACAACCATTCAACAGTTCAATATCGATTCTTCGATGCGTTTCCTGTCTAAAAGGTGTGTAGAAAGTAACAGTGGCTCCATAAGGAGTATGATCATTGAACACTACGCTGATCCTGCCCAGTCTTCCTCAACAGATTTCACCTTCAAAACAGCCTACCAAAGAAAATACTCTTTCACCTTAGTGATAGGGAGTGAAGTGATAGAACATGTTGACCACTTCACCTATTTGGGAAGTTGTATCAGCACCAACGGACTGATTGGCGACGAAATCTCAGCACGGATCCAAAAAGCTCGGGCTGCTTTCGCTAACTTACACCATTTCTGGCGTAGGCGTGACATCCGGGACGTGTGTACTGCTCAGCAGTTTGCTCCGTCCTTCTCTATCGCTCTGAAACATGGCCAATACGAGTTGAAGACATGAAAAGGTTGACTGTTTTTGATCACAGATGTTTACGATCTTTTTCTCACGTTAGGTAGTATAATAAGGTAAGTAATGTTGACATCAGGCGTAGAATGTTGGGCAAAGAGGGAAAATCAATCGAAGAGGCTATAAAGTTACATAGATTGAGATGGCTAGGTCACGTGCTGCGCATGCCTAACCATCGCTTCCCCCTGCCGACGGGCATTACTAGCTGATATAGGTGCAGGTTGGAAAAGAGTAAGTGGTGGCCAAACAAAACATGGCATCAATCAATCCATGAAATCCTTCACAGTTAAACTGAGTCAGGTAGGGAGATGCAAACTTCTGGGTTGGGGCCCGCCCTCGAGACTCTAAGAATCAATGGCTGAAGACAATAGGTGACATGACTCAAAATCGTTGTCAATGGCTTACGCAGATGCATTCAATCTCTTTAATCTTTCATATTCCTTTCTACCATTACTCATTCTGTTTCACTCTTATACTTGTCAAAACTCTATTGAGTCTCTTCACTCATCTTCTTGTCTACCTTTGTGTGGTATTTGGAACGTGACAACTCGAACTGCTGCACTTCGGTGCCAAGTTCTATGCTGAATTCAGACAGACTCTTTCACCTTCATTGCAAAAGAAAATTCTCCAAACACTTCTCTACTATCATGGTTAATGACCAAGATGTTTTTAACAGATCCTTTTCTTTTCACTCATTCTAACTCTTCCATTCTTTCAAACTCTAACATAGTATATCACAGTTTCCATTTCGTTTCTATGTGCATCCTGATTGTAATCAACTCATTTGTTAAATTATCTATCTCATTAGCTCTAACAAACACCTGTTGATTAGTCGGTTAAATATTTGAATCTCAATGCATTCACCGATGTTTAGTTAGCCAGGTAGACCAAACTCAGTAACGAGTGCATGGCATTTTATGAGAACCGTTGAAAACCAGCTATTTCGTCCTATTTCAGGACTCTTCATCAGTACGCACCCATGACGGTTCTGGGGATCGAAACCGGTCGCTGGAACGGAAGGTGTTCACCTGTCTAGTACTCCCTGATTTTCAGCAGTCCACTAACTGACATTAGTTCCTTATCCAACTTGGAAAAAGTTTACGAGTTGTAAATATCATGAGAAGATAAGCATTACACACACCTTACATAAAAATGTATAATATACCTGCTAAAAATGACACATTACCTTATTTAATGCATTCTCATTAATAACTGGGCCTAAATTAACATTTGGATTAGCACCATTCCCCATATGAAGACGAGAAACAGCTTCAGATAATCTGCTAACAAATTTATCATATATTCTTTCATGGACAAATATACGATTTGCTGATACACAGGTCTTAAAGAAGAAAATAAGAGAAAGAGAAAAGTAAATACACACTCATCATTAGATAATAATTATGATCATTATCCGACAGAATATAAACAGTTCAAATATTTACCTAGAATCTATACACTAAAGAAAGGGCAGTGGATTAGCTTCAATTACCCATTCAACGCACTGAGTAGATCCATAAGTAATCCAATGCAATAACTCTATGTATTTGGGTACATTACGCTACAGGTTACTACCTAGTGTCTAATCAAAGTATCCAATACAGTCCTACAGGAGGCCAACCTCGAGACTGAGTAGCTAGCTCAGTGGTAACGTCTCTGAGTGCAGCGCTGGGTGGTATGGGTTCGAATCTCAGAAGGGACATGAGTTCCTTCAAGGTTGCAGATACGCCTTATTTATTATTATTATTGTTCCCTTGGGTTCCTAGTGGAATATAAAGTTTCAACTGCACGTCTTCACTTGCTTCTATCTTCTGCTGTACTTTTCACCTGCATCCATGTTAGTCCATACTGTTTCAACTCCTCTTCACACGATCTCCTCCATGTCACCCTTGGACGTCCCACTCGCCGCTTCCCTTTCGAGTTCCACTGGAACTATGGCCTGATGCGCGATGTCACCCAGCGGCCTCCTCAGCTCAGCGAATATCCAATCCGTCTCCACTTTCTTCTGCATATTTGTTGGGCTTGTTTTGTTTGTTCCCATAAACTCGACTAGATTACTAGCTCGCTAGTTCTCTAGCCGGTCCCAAGCCCGGATAAAGAGTAAGGGTTGGAGCGTAGTGCTAGCAACTCCACCCCCAAAACTTAACCAAATTGCTACAGAAACTTCAACGCATAAATACATTAAAAATACTAAAAATATCAACAATAACCTTATTTTTCGCTGGAATCGGGGAAGTGAAATGACGCAGGCTGGTGAAAGCCTTCGGGAAGCCAGTCAGCCTATGTGCCTCCTTTCGATGAAAGCAAAAATAAGGATGGGGACGTGGAATGTTCGTACAATGTACGAAACTGGAAAGGCTGCTCAGGTAGCCGCAGAAATGAGGAGATATAAAATATAAGTGTTGGGAATCTGCGAGAGCAGATGGAACGGATGTAGAAGGTACCAACTATCTATCAACTGGAGAGACAGTAATCTATTTCGGTCACCCAGAGGACAACCACGAGCACACCGAGGGAGTGGCCATCATGATGTCACCAACAGCAGCCAAAGCTCTCATGCGGTGGGAACCAATCTCCTCCAGGATAATGACAGCTAGATTCAACTCAAAAAGAAGGAAGGTTACAATCATTCAATGCTATGCGCCTACAAACGTTTCAGAACAAGAGGAGGATTTCTACAGACAACTACAAATAGTAATGGACAGATACGCCTTGCTGACTGGCAATCGCCAACTAGCACGAAACCTAGGTCAGGCAAAGCTTCCTGTGGATTGCCTCCAACCATCTAATAACAACCATTCAGAGTGCACCGTGATGGCGGGCGACCTAGAATGGTGGTAACATTGCAAACTTGACTGAGAGAATTGAGTCTTCGCCAAACAAAGGACTAGACGCATGACACTAGTTATCACTTAGTATCTAATCAAAGGTGTTTATTTTGTAAGTGCATATGAAACCGGCTAGTTGTCCAAACTTTGATACGTAGTATGGGTCCCAACCTATGATCTACTTACTAACTAGAAGTTGAATATTCGAGTCAGTGAGTCACACATGAAATGTACAAGGCTATTTGTAGTTTTATTGGTTGGACGATTTCATCGTGAGCTGACGTCGGTTGGAGAGTCATTGGAAAACCTACAGGGAGTACTGGACAGCTGTTTAATCCTAGTTTGGGACTCTTTACAGTACGCACCCAGGACCTTCTGGTTACAAGGCTAGTCAGCCCGTAGACCATTAAACCACTTGGACCCGATCCAATGACCAGTTTATGAATTCTAACTTCTGACAATTCACGAGGTAGCGCGACCACTTCGCAATGTACTAGCAATGAGATTCCGAACTCAAAAAAACCTAATGAAACATGAAAGAATCTCTTAACACTGAATCACTCACAACTCAAAACAATTTTTAGCCAACTGGCTAAAAATTGATAATGGAAGATCACATGCATCCGTATTCTGTTGACCTCTAATTTTTGGATATCCCATTATTTCCCTCACTTCACCTTATTTATTCTCCACCTCCTCGAGGCCCCATTTCAATGCTGATATAACCATCTACATTCCAATGCTTTCTTTAGTTTTCCCCTGCTAGTGATGACGCCACATCTAATGGCAACTTGACTCTATATAGTGATCAGGATTTCACATCTTTTACACTTTTCTAATAATTTATATAACGCTTAAAACACAACCCCTTTATTATAGGGCACATTTACCCGTAAATGCCTTCAGTAAACTAAACTAAAAGCAAAGTTTTGATGAACAAGAAAGATTGGTTTGTGACGATTTAAGAAAGCAGTACTTCTAGATAGTCAGGAACAAAAGTAATTTCAAAGCGTTATTTAGCTGATGAAAGCAGGAAGTGCATTTCGTCCTATTCGGGACTCGTTAACTCTAAGTGCCTGCATCCCAGTGAGTGATAACTAGATAATAACTAATACTCATTGCACAAATGGTGAGTCTCATGAGCTACTGAATGATGCTTTGGCATTTCAAAGATTAGTGTACGTTTCAAGTCTCACTGAGAACACCATAACTCATTGAGAATGCAGCTACGTCTAGCTGACGAGTCCCAAATAGGAAAAAATGCTCATCCTGGATTCCACTGCTAATGACCATCCACCAGATAACATCATGTGAATCTGCAGACATCATCAAAGCGTCCATACTACAAGCCAGCACGTTAACAGAAACTGAGTGTTTCAGTAAAACATAGCCAATCCACGGGAAATGCAAATTAACCTAAACAAATAATTTCAAGTTTTGGTTTGATTTCAAGATGAGACACAAAGTGACTTTAGTTTAAGAACCCTTGAAAACCAGAGGGGTACTAGATAGCTGATTCGCCCTTGTTGTGGACTCTTCATCAGTACGCAACCATGACCTCACCAGGGATCCAACACAGGAATACCAGGTTACGAGGCGACCTTGAACGAAACAACTGTCAAGTACCTCCTGGTTTACAATAGTTCTCTAACTGTAGTCAGTTCGTGATCAGTCTTGAAACCAATCAAATCCCTGTAAGCCAAAACTTGGAAACCAGTTTGGGGGTACACTAACGACTGACTATAAGATAAGGCTGACTGCGATTCTAGTGAGAGTTCGTGACCAGCAGCATCAACCAAGTTGGATGTGAGAAGGCAGTCACACTATATGTCACAAGTGGGTAAAAGTTAGAATTAATCGGTTACTGTGCTCCGTTCCACTGGCTGAATGATCAATGATCACGCCTTATAACCTGAAGGTTAGAGGCCTGCTAGGATCATGGATGATGAGTATTGCTGAAGAGTCCTAAATACGGACGAAACAGCTGTTCAATACTCCTTGGATTTCAATGGTCTTCTAACCTATGTCAATCCATGATCTACCTTGAAATAATTTCGAAGCGTGTTTTATTGCCCACCCCCTGGGTGCACACATAAAGTTACTTCTGTTCACCTGCTATTCCGAATCAATAAAATTGTGCCTTTATGACTGATTTAGTTAGTTATTTATCACGATATAACACCAGTCACTACACTAATCAGTAGTAGATGAGCTATTTTCTTTTGATTCCTTTACGTTCCCAGTGCGGGAACATAGGGCTTCAAGCTACAAGCTTAAAGTTTCCGTAGCAGTGGTGATTATTTTTACAGGATGGGGTTGCTAGCCAGTCTCATGCCCAACCTTCCCTCTTCACCAGTCTTACTACTGACTTAGCGAGGTAAAGGAGTGCATCGGCCAGGGATCGAAACCGGGACCACCTGCGTGGTCGACGAGCACTCTACTGTTGTGCCACCGACGCATAGATGAGCTACTATTAACCGTCTTTATTTTACGTGTACAAAATAAGTAGTGTGGTCGGGATGTAAGTCTATACATGAGGTATACCGTATAAACCAGCGTTGTATTATCGTTATTTTAATGCCGTTTCATGATGCGATACATCTGCAAAACGCAACAATATGAAATAAAAACTTATTGTTTAGTTTTCTTTGTCCTTAAACCTGTAGTATCGTCTAGATGAATGGTAAAAATTCCAGTCTAGAGAGTAAAGCTCATCTACTATAATAATCATAACTCGTAAAGTATATATCTTTTCTAACACACACACACACACCAATTTCATTCACAATAATAACAGAATTAGTCAATAACAAGTTTTAAAAAAAGGTAGTTTATAACCAAAAAAAGCATTACTGATTGAATCTCTGTAGACTAACCTGTCCAGAACAACGAAATTTACAGCCCACTGTACCATTGACAGCCTTTTCAATGTTGGCTGAGTCAAAAATAATGAATGGAGCATTACCACCCATTTCCAGGAGAACACGTTTACCAGAATTAGCAGCTTTAGCGTACAACATCTAATAAATATAATCATGATAACAGTGATACAAGATCTTAAAAGGGACACAAAAAGTGAAAATGCAGTAAGCGAAACTGAAAATATTACTTGGATGCAGGCTAATTTATTTGCTGCTTGACTTGACATCTGTCACTAGCAATACATCTAGGGGAAACGATGGAAAAGACAGACGATCTTTACTAGAAATCTGTTCATGTCTCACAAGCATGGTGAGGCTAGGTAACAGCTTTATGTCAAACAGTACTTTTGGTACAAATATGGAATTAAATAAAATGGGGCACTTACATTAATACTATTGTTCAATAAAAAGTGAATATAAAATTAAAACAAATGAAAATATTAACGATAATATAATAATCAGAAGAAAAATAAATGCCGTTTACTTAGTAAGTTGGTTGTTTCCTGTCTTACACTTTTCTCACCACATAAAATGCGTACTAAATAAGGTATTGTGGCGTTTTTTTACTTAGTTGTCAGAGCGTATTGCTGCTGCTGCTGCTGCTGGATTAAACATAGAACTTGGCACCGAAGTGCAGCAGTTCCAGTTGCCACGTTCCAAATAGCACACAAAGGTAGACAAGAAAATGAGTGAAGAGAATCAGTAGAGTTTTGACAAGTATAAGAGTGAAACAGAATGAGTAATGGTAGAAAGGAATATGAAAGATTACAGAGACTGAATACATCTGCGTAAGCCATTGACAACGATTTTGAGTCATGTCACCTATTGTCTTCAGCCATTGATTCTTAGAGTCTCGAGGGCGGGCCCCAACCCGGAAGTTTGCATCTCCCTACCTGACTCAGTTTAACTGTGAAGGATTTCATGGATTGATTGATGCCATGTTTTGTTTGGCCACCACTTACTCTTTTCCAACCTGCACCTATATCAGCTAGTAATGCCCGTCGGCAGGGGGAAGCGATGGTTAGGCATGTGCAGCACGTGACCTAGCCATCTCAATCTATGTAACTTTATGGCCTTTTTGATTGATTTTCCCTCTTTGCCCAACACTCTACGCCTAACGTCAACATTACTTACCTTATTATACTACCTAACGTGAGAAAAAGATCGTAAACATCCGTGATCAAAAACAGTCAACCTTTTCATGTCTTCAACTCGTATTGGCCGTACAGTCTTCTACAGTTGCTTTCAGTTCTACCTGATGAGATTCAACAAAGAAACAGCTGTGTATGAAGAGGATGTTCAGAGTCTGACAGGATAATATTCGCTAATTTCTTGCAGGAACCCAAGTGTCTGTCTACAATAGTATTTATTAACGAGTTGGTTTAGCAACACCCTACTCGCCCTACTGACGGCTTTTAGCGCCCTACGCAATATAACAAAGTCTTTCTTAATAATAATAATAATAATTTTGCTTTATTCCAGAAACAGTACTAGTGGTATAATGTGGAATTTTCAGCACATATCTACAATATTTGCATCTAATTTTATCCAACGTTTAAAAGGAATATTTCAAAAAAAATAAATATAAAGACAACAACAGCAAAAAATCACAAAAATAATTTTAAAAAATGCGAAAAATACCAAGAAGTAGAAAGGAAAATAAACAGCACATAATAATATCTCAGTATTGGGTAGTGGAAGCTATGATATGATTATGCATAGTGACAGTAAAGCTATAGTCATACAAGAAGTTATGAAATGATATTTAAGAATGTTTATCGCCAAGATGATCAGTTAATTTGGTTGAAACAACACTAAACAATCATAAAATAACATTTCAGGGTTGTTGTTTTGTTTTTTATTGTCAGCTCTAATGCAGTATTGCAGTGGAAGTGTGAGTAATCCTGCATAATACAAAATTTTTGAGATGATGGTAATGGCGTTCACAACTAATGATTGTCAGTTAATATTGCCGAAAAAAATTTTAAAAAATAAAAAACAACCACAAAAACTAATAATTACATGATGGTTAATGACAGGACAATTTTGTACTAATCATAGTGCTAATATAGTCGGAACCAGTAGATACACAAAAGAAGGAATACAGTAAAGTACAAAAAAGGGAGCCAATGTTAATAATTTAGGTAGCTAAGTATGTTTAAGAAGGAGTTCACTACAGAATGCAAAATAACAGAGAAATAAAAGAGCCTAAAATTATGTTGTTAATAACAAAGCAAGTCATAGGTTTCACGCTTAACATTGTCTCTGTCGCTTAGAACACGGGCCAAGTATTGTATCGTTGAGTTCCTGTACTTGGTTGTACGAGCATAGATCATTTTATACTGATTTCTGGTTCTACTTGATGAGATACAAGGCGAGAGTTGGGAATAGAGGGGGTGTTGGGGGTCGGAGAGTATGGTTTTAGACCATTTTTCGCATATATTCACATGCCTTTCAACTAATGTAGTGACGAGCTGACTGAGTTTTACACCACTAGTTCTACTAACTACCTTCAACATCCTCCTCAGTATGGTAATCTGGCAAAGATTAAGGGGGAATAGTAAAGAAGTATAGGCAGAATACAGGAATTAACAAACTGTGACAGTAAAGATGGAATGATACTAGATCGTCTTAACTTCCTTACATAAAACGTCAAAAGAAATATCTCTCTGCAAACTAACATGATGTGGGAAGACCAAGGAAAGATCAGACGAAAACCACAGTCCAAGGCATTGAACATTCGATTTGGTTTCAACTTCAGTGTCATCTATGATAGTGGAACCGTATGAACTAACCAGTTCATGTAAGTCTCCCTTGCGTCTGAAAGTGAAATTAACCACCTGACATTTTGAAGGATTAGGATTTAGACCATTTGACGAGGACCACTGACTAATTCCTGACAAAAAAAGTTATTCATTTTGCAGCAGTCTGACTCAGAAGTAGCCAGCGGCATAAAAACAGTCAGATCATCGGCATACTTAACACAAAAGACTAGATGACTACACGCACATATAATATGTGATCTATGCCAGAAAAAATTAGAAACAAATTAAAAATAGTAGTATCCCATGATAAAGCAACTTTGAAATATGAGAAAAACGAAAGCAACTGATGATACAAGGAAGGAAATTACGTAGTGATTTCAATGTCATGAGAAAACATATAAGTTCAAGATATCAATTTTTTAGGGGGTTTATACAATAGTCATGCCGACAAAATTACCCATCACTTTTGTAATTCAGTCGTTAATTGAAGTGATTCTCCCTCAATTCACAACGATTTTGACACTAAACAGTTGAAAGCATACACCAAGAAGCTTTCGACTAAAGTCCTATGCAGGCTGAGTACTCATTGCATACATATATTTGTCATCTATGAGCTGAAAGGAACTGAAAGTCCTAAATATGCATCACTCAGTGTCACTCAGATAATTCGACTTCGAAAAGATTAAGATTAGATAATGAAACGACAAGTATTAACTGGTACACTTAATTTTTTTTCAGCCTGCCATACATTTCCAGCAATTCACTTATACAAGTCTACATGTTTGTTTGAAAATTATAAAAGTGACTGGTTACAGGACGAAGTTGCCTGGAGTTCTAGTGAGAAGTCGTGACCAGTGGGGTCTATCCAGTTGAGAGTGAGGATAGAGTTCCCACCGATGATATTAGTTGGTGCTCGCGCTAAAATCAAGAAAATCAGTGGAAGTTAGAATTCCTGTGCTGGCCATTGAATCGGGTCCCAGTGGCTGAATGGTATACGAGCCAGCTTGCCTTGTAACCGGAAGGTCCTGGGTTTAAAACCCAACAGTGGGTACGTACTGTCGATGAGTCTCAAGCACTAGGATGGAACAGCTGTCCAGTACTCCCTGTAGGTTTTCCAATGGTTCTCTAACTGGTCTACCATGAAACGAATAAATCCCTACAGAAAACAATTCTTGAAAATAATAATAAGTACAGAGTAGACAGACAGTTCGAATTTGATTCACAATTTTGATGATGTGAATATCAAATAAGTACTAACAAGGTAGATTAAGTGTGAGTACCAATTCTTTTGAATATACATAAAGAGTTCCCATTTGTTTAGCCCTTAATGCTTTACACGTCACTGAGTAGTTAGTCTAGTAGTCTGTATCCAGTTGAACTGCTCCATGACTGCAGGATTTGCAGAATGATTCTTCACAGTTTTTATTCAATAGGTATTTATTCTGCCTAATAATAATAATAACCATTATTTTTCATTCCTTTGAGTTTCCAGTGGAACAGGGAGAGATGATATTGCTTTTACTTGTGGGTTTAGTCGCCTCGCGTCTAATCTTCCCACTTTTGCAGGCCAACTATTAGCTAGCAGAAGGAAAGGCAAGATTTAGGGATGTTTGAGTCGGGAATCGAACCGTGAACCACGTGCATGCTTGATGAACAATCTACCATTGAAACACCTACGCACCAAATAGTAAATCTAGCTGGAGGTTACTTTCTCTACTGCTATCAACGCAAACCATGGTACTATCATTTTGTCAGATAGCTTTGTCAGCTATTTTGATCGATATAAGCAACCTAGGGAGACAAGTCTTCCTGTGATAATCACACGGGGATTAGCTTGACTAATACGGTATCTAGAGTTCTAGGCTCAATAATAATACGTCGACTAAGTGGTGCTCGGGAGGAACAAACAAGAGAGAACCAGCTTTAGACCAGGAAGAGGGTGTACTGATCATATTTTCACCCTTCGACAGATTCTGGAACATAAACATACTTACCGGCCTCTAACAATCGTCATATTTCTTGAACTAAAGGTGGCATTCGATTCTGTCGACCGAGAGGTACTATGGTGATGCCTGGCCGTAAAGGAAATGCCGAGAAAATACATTGCACTGATCAGGGCACTCTACTCGAACTCATGCAGCCAGGTGAGGGCTTACGGTAAGTTTTCATCTGAAGTGGCGACAAGTAGTGGTGTCCGTCAGGGATGACCACTATCCCCATTTCTATTCAATTTCATCCTAGACGTACTAATGGACTTAACCCTAACTCACTTCAGAGACTCAGGGATTGACTTGTTATCAGGGAATAATCTCGTTAACTTAGAATATGTAGATGATATAGTCCTCCATCCTAGGTGAAGACGCTGAAAAAATGCAGTCTTCTGAACACCTTGAGCTGCAATCTACGAATGTTTGGCATGAGATTCTCTCCAGCCAAATTTAAGATGATATTACGGGACTGGACTACACTTACTCCTAGCTTAGAAATAGGGAATGAAGTGGTAGAGCACGTTGACCGCTTCACTTATTTTAGAAGTTGCATCAGCCCCAACGGGTTGATCTCTGACGAAATCTCAGCACGGGCTCGTTTGGCATATGCCAGTTTACGCCGTCTCTGGCTTAGTAGACGTGATATCCGGCTATCTACCGAAGGGCGTGTGTACTGCTCAGCAGTCCACTCTATACTCCTTTATGGCTGTGAGACATGGCCAATGAGAGTGGAAGCTATGAGAAGGCCAGCTAGCTGTCTTCGATCATAGGTGCCTGTGTTCTATCTCCCGTGCGAAGTGATGTAGTAGGGTAAGCAATACTGAGGTTAGGCGTCGAGTGCTAGGTAAGGAGGGGAAATCAATCGACGAGGCTGTAAAATTACATCGACTGAGATGGTTAGGACATGTGTTACGTATGCCTAGTCATCGCCTTCCTCAACAATGGGCAATGTTAGCTAATATAGGGTCAGGCTGGAAAAGAGCTAGCAGCGGTCAAACCCAAACATGGCACCAGTCAATGAAATCCATAACATTTAGTTTAAGCAGTCACGTAGGAAGATGTAGACTTCCTGGTTGGGGTCCTCGGGACGGTAAACACCAATGGATGGAGACAATTGGTGATATGGCTGAAAATCGTCCTCAGTGGTGTAGATGCATCCACTCCTTGCGACTTATAATATCCAATAAAACTATATTGTTCTTCGTTATTACTATTCCTTTTGTCTCATATCCCTGTCTACTGTCTCTTTCTTGCGTTTCTTCTAATTTCTTCTCTTGATTTGTGTGCTACATGGAGTGTGGCAACTCGAACTACTGCACATCGGTGCAAAGTTCTATGTCGAAAACAGACAGACAGACTAAACACATTACACTAGTTGCTAACTAGTGTCCAATCAAAGTAACTAATTCTTTTTAATAAAACGAATAACATTCAGGATTACACTAATTTCCTTAGTTTAGTGGCAGAATGCTTACCAACTATACATGTGGTCCGGAATTCGACCGCCTGACCAGCGTACTCCCTAACCTCACTTGGCCAGCAGTGAACCCTATAAACAGCGTGGGTTGGGCATGAGTCTACTAAGCCCACACCGTAAGAAGGAATACCAATGCTACTGAAACTTTAAAGCTCAAGCTTGAAACCCAGAAGGATGAAAAAGCTACGCATAACGGTATGCATGTATCAAGCACAAAGTAAAAACGGACAATTTGTCGCTAAAACAAATAACATTTGAAAGGTTAACGTAAAAAGGCGCCAGATTAAAATAATTAACTTCGATAATCATCAAACAACAATAATAACTCACCATTCCAACTTTTGTAGAACCAGTAAATCCAATCAATCGGACAGAAGGATGACTGCAAAACACATTGCCAACCTGTTCAGCTCCTTCTTCACCACCCTTGGCTGTAATAACATTTAAAACACCTGAAGGTATTCCTGCTTTTTCAACACCAAGGTAAGCAATAGCCAAAGCTGACAAAGGAGTATCTTCAGCTGGTTTAACAATCACAGAACAACCAGAGGCCAAAGCAGCACCAACTTTGCGTGTAATCATAGAAAGTGGAAAATTCCACTAAGCATAAGTACACAAAAGTATTAGCACTTTAAACATATTTTGAAATAGCTAAACTTGATTAAAAATTATTAACCTATATATATAAATATATATATATTGGTTGATGCTAATTATTGTTATTGTTATCATTATTATTTCCTTTAATTCCTAGAGGAACATAGGACTTCAACCGTGCGTCTCCATTGAGTTCGGTTCTCTGCTAGAGTTTTCACCTGGCTCCAAGTCTACCCACATGCTTTCATCGACTCTCCACATGACCTCCTCCATGTCAGCCTCGCACTGACAACCAACTAGCCGCTTGTCTAGTGATGTCACTTGATGGTTTCCTCAGATTACGGCCAATCCACCTCCATTTCTTCCTGCTTATTTGTTGCACAATCGGTTCCTGCTGTGTTGGTTCACTGGACAACATATGTGATTGGCAAGTATTCTACCGCTGCATTATCGACGTACACATAAGGATTAATGATACTATCTAATTTCCTGTATATCAGTATATGGATAGATTGGTTTAAACTAGCTGAAATTGTTAAACCATCGCCCCGCTAAGACTAGTGTCCGAACAAAGCAAAATAAATCAATAGGTACAGCCAAGTGCAACTTTCCCCTACTGCCGATAGTCTTTAGTATCACAATACTCTTATTCCCTATGATGAAATCATACATACAGCGTCCAATGATGAGCCACCTGGATGAGTTCACGTGAATACAACAAATCACGGTTACAGACTTTGAGTAAGACTGCTCAAAATTGAATGCAGTTGTGCAGATGCATCCATATTTTATCTTGAACTTAACTGTAATATCGCAATCGCCTGCCTAACTTATTTTCTTCCCTCTTCTTATAACACTTTCTGATCCTCCTTTTACTTACTTTTCATCTGATGAACAAATGTGAAGTTTGACGACTTGAACAATTACACAGGAATGTTCTACTGTCTCACCCAATCAAGAAATATGGTTAAACTAAGGGAGGTTCATGAACACAACAGCTGAAGAGAATCTGATCTAATAAAACACAAGTCATCTAGAATGAGACCAGTACATCAGCGTAAGAGCCATAATAATTTAACAGAAACTTAAGTGGATAATTGACAAGATTTAAAACTGACGATTACTAAACTAACTATACACAAAAAATGAATAATAAAATGCATGGAAGATATTCTTAGCAAATAAAGGATGGATTATTCTAAGTACCGGAGTAATTACACCTACAACACCAACTGGCTGATGAACAATCAGTTGTTGTCGTAAGTGAGAACGCAGTGATGGTACATGATAACCATAAACTCGTTTAGCCTCTTCAGCATACCATTCCAAAGCTGAAACACCTGTCAGTACTTCAGTACGAGCATCCGAAGATGATTTCCCCTTTAAACGAAAAAAATAAATGTGAAAACATTTTGTTAATAAATTTCAAATGGATTAAAATCATTATCAATTTAGATCTAAACTATAAAAAGTAATTAGGTGAAATACTCTTTCAAGTGCATGCAAGTACAGCAGTTTATCAGCTGAACACCGTCTACATTTTATTTGTTTATTGGAACACGAACTTGACACATTATAGGCACCAAGGGATGCGCCACACAAAAACTCGTAGTTTCTGAAAGGACTGGGATACTGCTCGGGCACCCAGACCAGAGCAGGTGATTGTCTTAAAGAACCATACCCCGTGCTTTCAACTAAAAGTTTGATTCTCGAAGCAGTGAAGCTGTGTTCTTACGGTTTCCTGTCGGATTTCAGAGCCCGTGTACACCATAGGTTTGGAATTAGGGCTTTCCAGCTCCCCTAGGTAGACTAACATGTCCACCAATTCAGTTACAAGCGTCACACTCTGGTATTCACCCTTTCACGAAAGTGACAGGATGGTTCAATTAGTTCTTTTAAAAATTCAACTGAAAGTGACTTGAAGGAAAATGAATTTTCTCTGAGGTGGTGTTTAAAAAAGGAGGTGACACGAAGCAGGATCGATAAATGAGAATATTCTTTATGAGATAAACACTGGAATACAGACTTATCTTTTTATAAATTATTTAAATTAATCCCAGCGGGTTTAAGAAAATCAAAACAAAATTTTTCCGGACGTTTCGCTGTGTAACCACATTTTCTTCAGCAGATTTATTCGGATTTTTATTAATCATCAAAATCTTTGATGAATTTAAATAATTTATAATGAATCAATCTGACTCGGCGCTCAAATTATTCCAGGAAGTTCGTAACACCTACGGTCTGGAAACTTATAGATTTATCTTTTATTTACATCATTAGTCAACTTCAGCATTTTGTAAAACAAAAGAGCTTCAGTACCACATTAATTTTCTTTCATGAGAAACATACAACGCAATTGCTTGGAGGATTTCATCATGAGCTGACATCATTTAGAGAACCATTGGAGAAGCAACAGGGATTACTGGACAGGTGTTTCACCCTAGTTTGGGACTCTTCATCCCTACGCACCCACACCGTGAGGTTCGAAACCAGGACCTTGTGGTTACGAGGCTAGCAAGCTCGTAGACCATTACGAAACTGGGACCCAATCCAACGGCCAACGCATGAATCCTAACTTCTGCCAATTTATGGCATAGCGCAACCCCTTCGCAATGTCTTCTTCGATGAGTTACTGCCTCACCTTTAACCTGCTGCACCCTACTAGTAACGGCTTCCCACCAGAACCCCACGTTAACTGTCATAATAGGACCAGTCGCTAGTGAGCATCAGATACAACGCAATATTGTGTTAAACACTGAGAGTTTCGTTCTGTATCATAAATACAGTTCTGGAATAAAGCAGACCATTACTTTTATTGTGTGTTCTGTTCTCTACTAGTCTTATGCACTAGAAAAATTATGAAACAACCAACAAATCTTTCACCACCTTACGCTTGCATCAAAATGATGCTATAATAAAGAAAATGATAATGGCTATAATATTGAAGCGCAATGCCATATATCAAAGGGTAAGTGGAACTAAACTATTTAAACAATGAGTAACAGTTCTATTTGTCTAATCGATAATATATTTTGACAGATTCATTGCGTTCAGATAGACAGAATGACGGCATAAGCCATTCTGTTAAGTCGGTCATATACATGAAGCTATTTCACTATTAGTATTACTCCCTTGGGTTCATTGATGGAACCTACGGCTTCAAAAGTACATTCCCCTTTCGCCCTGTTCCCTATAGTCCTTTTTAGCTGGCTCCACGATCCTTCACAAGTTTTCATCTCCTCCATATGACTATCGGACGCCCAACTCGTCTTTCCCATCCTAGTTCCGCTCTGGGATTTGATACGTGACTTCACTCAATAGTCTTTACAGGTATTTTTTTCCTTCACGTTCCCCAGTGGAACATAGGGCCTCAAGCTAGTGGCTTGAAGTTTCTGTAGCAGTATTTATTTTACAGGATGCGATTGCTAGCCTCATGTCCAACCTTTCCTTTTCACCAGCATTATTTCTGGCTTAGCGAGGTAAAGGAGTGCGTCAGCCGGGGATCGAACCCCGGACCATATGCATGGTCGGCGAGCGTCCTAACCGCTATGCCACTGACGCACTTTATGGGTATTAGCGGACTAGGATTCGGGCATATTTATTTTAGTATATTCGAACAGTCTAGCAAGATGTTTCATAAAAGTTAACTGATAAACACAGATTGTGGGTTAATACCGTTGATAGCTAGATGTCTAAGGATATCACTAGATCACTTCTCACCACTTTGCTCATATCTGAGCATATTATAACCAGCATGAAAATTTGTATAGAACAGTGACCTAAAAATCAGGTAAACTTGGATATTTTCTTCATTTATGCATCACTGATCCACCAAAACCAAATACATTAAGGAAAATTTTAATCGCTGATTTTCTAAATAACCTCATAATATAGCATGGTATGAACCAAAAGACCAAAATTTATATTTAAGACAAAGCATCTTACATTTTCCGCTGTAATTAATGCTGCCAGAGAGTCAACGTTCTCACGAATACTGTCCGCCCATTTCCGTATAACTGAAGAGCGTTCATCTGGAGATTTTGCAGCCCATTCCTTTTGACTAACTGAAGCTAGATTTACGCATGTTTCACACTCTTCTTTAGAACAAGCTGGAACTGAACGTAAGCGTTCACCAGTAGCTGGATTTAAAACTAGAAAGCAGGAAAAATATACTCAGAAACGGAATGATATAATATGAAAATAATTCTTTGTTTTTATCAGTCGTTTGGAAAAACAGAGACCAATATATTCGATATAAGACGCCGTGATATAGTATTATATGCACTGATTTCTTTCGAAACGAAGCTGACTTCTGAATGATGGAGAGGACTTTTAGTACATGTTCAAGTGCTGGTTTTCAGGTATTTTATCAGTTACGGGATTTCATCATGAGCTGACATTTGTTAGAGAACCATTAGAAAACCAACAGGAAGTACTGGACAGCTGTTTCGTCAGCCTAGTTTGGGACCCCTCAGTAGTACGCGCTCTCTGGGGTTCGTAGACCATTAAGCCACTGGGACCCGATACAATGGTCAGCCCATAAATTCCAACTTCTGCCAATCCACAATATGGCGCGACCACTAGCCAATGTCATCGGCGAGTATTTGTCCTCACACCCAAACTGCTGCACCCCGCTGGACATGATTTACTACTAGCTCAATGGCTTCACTCGGAAACTTTCAATATCCTTCAAGATAACATCTTAAGAAATGGCTTTAAAAAAAGTGAGATTTGAAATTCTTCATGAATGAAATAACAGTCTCCGAAAATTTTACTATCACTCTCTTCACTTGTATTGATACTGACCACTCAAAATCATATTAAGATACTTAAATATCTTCGCGACTTTGCTAACATTGTTTGACTGTTTCTCGTTCTGTGACTTTGGAGGTATCAAAATTTTCCATATTTCTGTAATGAGAGTTCCGACTATTGTTTCACATGCAACCTGGTGATATGACGAACAGAGATTTAGTGATTTGCTTCCCTTCAGAAAACTATAAAGGTCTTTACGACTTTTGTCCTAATCCACTCTGTTTCGTCACTGTGTCTTAGTGTATGCATAGCTATAACTGGGTTTTACTTACATTACCCATCCTATTGTGGCCTATCATTCCATTCCTAACTTAATTTCTATACTTTTCAGATGAGTTGCCTGACACTGGCCAAGTGACTTTATCATCTACTGCATAATATTTGGTAAATCAGTGTATGATAAGACTTGTCTCACAGTGAATATCAACGTACAGATGACATCTTAATCCTTGCTAAGAATGGATTTTAAATACTTCTATATATAAAAACAATGTAGGAGTTTTGAAAGTCCTTTTATGTATGAGGCTTATGAAATAATTTATTGCATTACTAAGTAATACTTTAGCACAGTGGCTAACTTCTGTTTTTATAGTAGTAGACATCTGTAGCAAAGCCTTGGATTTAATTCCGAATATTTCTGCAGATTAGAAGAGCTTGTTAGCAACTACCATCACATTCTAACACTAATGGCTTAATTGTATAATTAAAATCATAAGTTATGAGTAACTGAAGACAAGGTTTGGCGTTCGACTTCCGGTCGACGCACTCCTAAACCTTGCTTATCCGGCGGTAAGTCCTGAAAAAAGGGTAGGTTGGGCGTAAGACCAACAACCCTCACCTCGCAAAAACAACACAAGCGCTACTGAAATTTCAAAGCTTAGAAGTATTGAGGACCTGTGTTTCGCTAGGAATGCAGAAGGAATGAAGACTCTAAACAAGACTGATCCTTCTTCTGAATCAAATACATTTACATACTAGTCATCGAGTTGTACCTTACTTGAAACTTCCATATTCGATACTGACCATCAAACTAGATAATTAGACACTCCAGTGTGGCATAATTAGTGCTAAAAATTCGAGAACCTCAGAAAGCAGAATAATTCTGAGTTGGGACTTGTTTTGATCCAACCAAAGTAATGAAAACATATGATTATGGTCGTCGAAGGACTACCTATATGATGCGAAGTGTTGACGTTGTCTTTTCCCCCGATCTACTTAAAACACAATAGCCAAAAATAAAAATACCATGCGTATAATATATAAGACATCTATGTTAAGGTTCTCTTAATCACTTCAAATGCGGTTACACAACGTGAATCCAGTTATATAAGAATACATTACGTTTAAGCCGAATCAATTACAAGCCAAATATGAATACCCACTTTCCGATATAACAAGATACAACTTTAGATAATAAAAGTGAAAGTACATACATAAATTGCTGTACATAAATAAAAAAGTGAATGCAAATTTGAATTTAAAACTGAATGATATTCACACACATCGGATACATACAACCTCCTAGCCATGACATGTGATATAATGCAATTTATTCCCTATGTGATGTTTCGACAGCAGTATATGAGCCATGTTTACTTCGGTAGCTAGTCCAACCTCGACCACCAAAGCTACAAGTGATGAATAAAGACAATGAGCATTTTATTTAATCACTTCACTATTGCATACGCACTTAACGTTACCTATCCAACAGTAAATACCTAGACAATTCAACTGCACATAGTGGTTACCACAGTTGGAAATTATGACTCTGTTGTATGACTGGTCTAGTAGCACTGATTTATCCATAAAAAAAGGATTCACCCTAGCAGTGGAAAACGTATTTGAGGCTGGGATAAATCCAACTTTCGAATTACTTAAAGCAATAAACCTCAAAAATACCGAAACTGGATTAGGCTCTAAATAATTACTACACTCAAAAATACTGAATAAACATGATCCAAGAGCAACATGAGATTCAATTCCAAAAAGCAGGAACGAAAATCAAACCTGAGAATGTTTTCCCTGACAGAGAAGGTTGCCATTTTCCCGAATACAGTGCTTTATTATCTGGAATCAACTGTTGCCATGATGATGTTGACATTTTGCTGGACAATCCTTTGGACAAATATAATCTGCAAAGCCATAACTTTTGTGCACCCTAACAAACAGAAATTAAGGTGAATTGAATGCTTATTTCCAAAATGCCCAATAAAATGAGCAATCACTAATAATTGTGTTGTTGCCACATGTACTTGAGTATTTCCATAAGTTATACCAAACAGTACACAATGACCCACTATGAGAATTGAGCACCTGTAGTACTAAGGAGAATTTAGTACTAATACACTGCCATACATAAAACATATATACGCTGAATATCTTACGAAGGCCATATGCATACGATAACAACATAATCGACCGAAATTAAACAGAAAATTAAATTTTGCAGTTTACAACGAGTAGCTCCTTAACTTCGCTCACTTTGCCTTTAACACAAAGTTAACACTTTATAAGCGGCGACAAAAACTAATACCGACGTGTTCAAATTCAGATGCACACAGTACTCCGTATATGAGAAAGTATTTTCCAGCATGGTCTCGAAATTATTACCTTCATACTTCTTAGAAAGCACCAGGCATTAAAATCAAGTGGATAACTAGTAAACCATCTTACTGTTGTTGGTAGCATCTATCATGATGTTGCATAGTTCAATGTCAAAATAACTTGGAAGTAGTACACAGAAAAGTGAACTTCAGTCTGTGTAACAGGTTTTAAAATAACAGAGAAGATTTGTTGCTCAGGTGAGCGATTTTGATTCAGTAGTTGTTCTTTGAGCCGGTTGTTTTAGTTACAGCCAGTTCAGAGAACACAACTAAATCATAATAGGAGGTTGTAATGAAAATAATGTATAACAGTTAGTGTGGCAGACTATATAAAAAGAGATCTCAAAAGCATACAAAAACAGTAACATGTCTATCACATGTTAAAATTCCAAACTGTAAGCTGTTAGCCTAGTGGACCAACTAACTTTAGTAACCCTACTGAATTAGACAAGATGCAAAAACTGAAAAACTCAACTTTCAAATTCCAGTTATGCAGAAAAATTCAAAGTAGAACGATAATTTATGCGATCAGATACGCACAAATGGATAAATATGGGTCAAATGTTACATTAGAATGCTGCGCGAGATGGGATATATCAGTAGCTGTAAACTACTCACGCTGAACAGTACTGCTATTGGTGGTATTAAGTGGATCATGTATTTTGATTCGAATATTTAGGTTACACATGATGAACTTTTACCTCAAAGTAAATAATCTGCAAATGACCTGTTTACTGTAATATAATATCCCCACAATTACTAAGGAAATTTGTTCAAATACATGTATGTACAATAGTTTCAAACACAAGACATTTGTAACCACGAGTGGTATTCCTAACTAATAAATATCACTTCCAGATGAAAATAATCCGTCACCAGTAAAGACATCTGCTTAACTGATAATAAATATAGCGACAAATAATGTTGACTATTAAAATTAATAGACACTTTTTGCAAAAAGAAAGGCCACAGCTGCAGGATTGTAGTACCGTTAGTAGTTAAAAAGAAGTCTCAAAATAAAATTGAGTCGTTAATCAACTGCGAATTGAGATCCTATTATCAGTGCTGCTAACATCCGTGGTCGAATTTAGCAATCTCCACCAGTGTATATGAATACATACGACAAAGATCAGTTATATATAGTCCATTCATTTAGGCAGAAATATTCCTGACAAGTTTAAAAAGCAGTACACTTGCAAAAACTGATACCTGTAAACCATAGCACCTGGACAGCATTCTCGAAGAATCAAAGTTGCCAGCACTAAATTACGCTCAAGGACTTATGGTGAGTAGCCAACCAGGCGTCAAGGCCATCGAACGCTGATTGGTGCTTTTCAAGGCGGAGAAGTTAACTTGAGCTATTCAATATTCAATTCCAGTAGCTGGAAGACGTTTTGGCTGACATCACCCTAAATGCTATTACATTATTCAAAAGTATTGGTTATATATAAGACAGTGTTTAGTCACATCTACCTCAACACGTTTCATAACCATATGCTATACCACAAGAGCTTCGCAACATCTCATGAACAGTAAAAGTTTTTGCAGTGATACGTTTCCCTATGAAACATTTAAATGAGTTCCGACCCTCTTAAAATAAATTGATTTGTAAAATAAAGGGATAAAACACTCTAATCCTTGATTCAGTAGTTTCATGAGGGGTCATTTAAATAATAACATACGATAACATAAAACTCTCTCAGTGAAACGAAGTCAGATTGTTTTCACACGCGATCTAGTATAACTGAAATTTCACACTGTAGATCTTCATCCATCAGCCGCTTTGTGACATTTTTGCCTACTATGTCTTTTACACTTCTGATATATTTACATATTATACCAGAGACTCAGTGAGCCATGGTTTATGACCAAATTTTGGTTAAGGGAGCTGACTTTCTGGTTCATAAACTAATTGATGATAACGAATACAACCAAAAAATCGGACAACCTTCGAAACAGTCAAGAGGGTTAGTTGTCGCGGATGTATATCCGCAATTTTTATATATGTATAGGTGAAAATAAAAAAACTGGCCTCATGGAAATCAGATAGTAGATTATTCAGTTTTATATTAGATTACCAGACTAAGGCTAAAATATGCTGCTATAATGAGATATAAAAGTAATAATTAAGGTATCCATACAAATAAACACAGTCCACCATTGCAGAGCTTTGTAACTACACAATAACAAACCTGTTGACCATTAGTAAAGTACATTTTGAATACTGGACTGGTGGGTTAACAAACAAATATAATTATACTTGAAACTGTGCTTTCTATGTGACACATCAAAGACTCGCTTTCAGCAATTATGAGTGAGTAAGTAACAGTGCATTAAGGTGTTTCATATTATTGATTCCTATGATCTACTGTCCTTTGTGTGCAATTAATTAGGACTAGATATTATTATCACTACAACTTCAAGGACACTACGCTTTCTATGAGTGACAATTACCAAGTGTTATTTTACTTAATAAGGGCAGACGAAAAATAAACCAATAAACCTAGAATGATGGCATTCCTCTAGACTGAGATTGACTCAGAGAACCTTTCAGGAGACGCAGTCACCTCTACGTTTACGCCAGATACTCTATAAACAAGAACAAAAATGTTTATCCTCCGACTCCCAAATTATCTGATTTACTAGGACCAAAGGTATATCAAACAACTCGAGCTAATCACCCAAAATACGAAATGTATTTCGTGATCGGTAACATCAAGAGATGATTGCTGTTTAGCCAGCTAGGGTCAAAGCACGGAAGGCCAAACGTAACACAAAGGCGTGCCTAATAGCGTGGATGCTTAACCATGTGCCTTTGGACTTAGAAGTCCACCCAAACAGCGAAGGTCAGCACTTAATGTTGAATGATGGATTTTGTAGGCCGATGATTTTGTGGAACTATTTCCCACTACGACCTGGCTGTACAAATTTTTACCTTATGTACGAACACGCACCTCTGTTTAACACCCCTACTAATAATACCTCTGCATTTGAGAAAGCGATGGATGGATGCACAAGACAAGATTTAGAGTTTATCGAACATGATTTCTTGGAACCCTGAATTAGCTTTTAAACATACACTCAAACCTTTTAGAGACACTAGACACATCGATAGTACTGATCGGCTTGTAAATTGCCACTCCCGTAGGGTCAGAAGCTGCAAGTGGTAAACTATATTCCATTGAGTATTTGAATACCAATTGGCATGTAGTGTACAAATTGCAGTGTTACTTTTAGATACAATATAGATGTCTTTTCGACAACCTGTCGATATCTGCTGTCTTGTCTGTAGATACAGTCCATGACTTTCATCACGGCAATGCTCTTAAGATTTTAAGGCTTTTCTCATATAAAATTAAGAAAGTCTCGATTATATTAATGCTTTTAGTGGTGGTGACTTAAATGCTAGACACCTGCAAGTGTGACTTTGCAGATCACTTCGCTACAACCCCGGAATATCACGGATGTGAAGACAGTCAATTTAAAGTCGACCACTATCAGCATTAGTTGGCCCTGAGTCTTTCGGGCTTCCAAGAAGATAGCCACCGGATACTAATATGTAGACAGAAGTTATGCTTTTAAAGTAACACTGATCACTTTTGAGACCCCAAGTTTGAAATATAGTGAAGTAAGGTGTTTGTAGGGGATTCAAATGCTATTGTAGCGGTAAATAATTCCCCAAAATTATTAACCACAGCAATCATCACTCAACATTGGATGCTGACCATCACTGTTTAAGTCGACTTGTTTAGCTGAAGGCTTACGGTCAAGCATCCCCGCCATTTGGTGCTCTTCGTCGTGTCACGTGCGTGCACGATTACTAGCTAGCTAAGCATTCATTCCTACCCGCGATTTGGTCCCAAAATATATATCGTATTTGGACGACAAAATCTGGTCTTTTGCTTTACCATTTGGTACTCGAAGAACGAACACTATAGTGGTTGTTGGTATAAGATCTTGCGTTAGTATAATCCGTACAACTCGCGAACGTTCGATACCAGCCCCCTAAACTGGTGAGCCCAACCACGAACTACATCTTCAATTCACACGCAGATAATCCCGGTGAGTTCGTTCCTTTTTGTGTTTATTCTTGTACTATATTGTTATCGGCACACTTTTCGTCATGAGTGATCCTAGCCCCAAGGTTATTCAGATTCGCTCAACCGCCAAAACAATTCAGCTAGTACCATTTTGGCCAGATAATGCTGAAACGTGGTTTCAGATTGCTGAGTCCGATTTTTGTGAACATGGCATAACTGATCAACGTTCACAGTTCCTTGCAGTTATTCACGCCCTACCGCGGGAATTCAGCAGGTGCGTAACTCTGCAGATGTCGGTAAGTAACTCGTACGAGTTGCTAAAAGCATCCATACTCAAGAGAAACGTTCTCACAGATCGACAACGTCTGGATGAGTTATTTCGTAACATCGAGTTAGGAGATCAGTCAGCCGTGAGCATGCTGGCAAGAATGAAAGAGATCATTGGCCAAAGTCAGTTCGATGAAGGACTGTTTAGAGAACTATTTTTATCCAAACTGCCACAGTCAGTTCAGACTGTACTTGTGACACTTCAGGGTGTTCTCATAGATGATTTAGCTGTCTCTGCAGATAGAATTCTAGAGATAACGAAACGGCCAGTTACCGAAGTATACTCTGTTACCGAACAGACTTCGAGGAAGGATTCTGCAATGATAGAGTTATGCAACTCCGTCCAGCAGATGCTTAGGTCAAACAAGCCTAGCAATTCCTCCTATCGTCGTTCTAAATCCCCTCAACGGCAAAGCGCACGTGGACGATCTAAGTCCAACACACGTTCTCTCAAAAATCCTGACTGGTGTTGGTATCACAACACCTATGGCAAGGAAGCAAAATGTTGTCGAAAACCTTGTGATTTCGGCAAAGCCTCCAAGTCTGTGGGAAACTATCCCGCCGGCACGCGTTAGCGGCAACCGTCGCCGGTGGCACTAGCCGCTTACTTTACATCCATGATGTAATTAGCCAGACTAGATATCTAGTCGACACAGGCGCCGAAGTCAGCGTCCTTCCTGCTACAGCAGCAGATCGACAGAAGGATCCTAACTTCAACCTACAGGCTGCAAATGGAAAACCAATTGCAACCTATGGTCGGAAATACGTCTATCTGAACGTAGGTTTACGCAAACCTATTCGGTGGATTTTCCTAATCGCTGACGTCACAATGCCCATCATTGGCACGGACCTACTTAATCATCATGATTTGCTCGTAGACGTCCGCCGTAAACGATTAATTGACAACACTACTAGTTTGTCTATCAAAGGCATAACTTACGTAGGCCCCAGCTTGTCAATCGTTAAGATGAAAGCAATCCTCGATCCAACTTTTCAACCGATTGTTGACAAATATCCGGAACTCAATTGCCCATCTAACGATCTCCCGTGTATAACCAGCAATGTTATGCACCACATCATAACCTCAGGACAGCCCGTGACATCTAAAGCACGACGACTGGCCCCTGACAAACTGAGAATTGCCAGAAACGAATTCGATCATATGCTCACCCTTGGCATCATTCGGCCATCGAATAGTCCATGGGCATCCCCATTGCATATGGTTCCAAAAAAAGATAGTAACGATTGGCGACCCACTGGTGATTACCGGCGAGTCAACGCCAAAACTACCCCCGATTGCTACCCATTGCCTCACATACACGACTTGACGGCAACGTTATCTGGAGCATCTATATTCTCCAAAATCGACTTGGTTAAAGCATATAACCAAATCCCGATGGCAACGGAAGATATTCCGAAAACGGCTATCATCACGCCTTTCGGACTTTTTGAATTCCTACGTATGCCATTCGGCCTCCGGAATGCGGCACAAACATTCCAACGCTTCATCAACGAAGTATTTCGCGGTCTCGACTTTGTATACGCATACTTAGACGACTGCCTCATTGCCAGTCCAGATAAGGAAACTCACCTTAGACACTTGGACTTGGCATTTGAAAGGTTACGCCAACATGGTGTTACCATCAATATACAGAAGTGTCAGATAGGCGTTGGCTCACTCGATTTTCTGGGTCACACTATTGACTGCCAGGGTATTCGCCCACTGGCTACCAAAGTCGAAGCAATACTGAACTTTCCGGAGCCAAAGACAGTAAAATGCCTTCGCACTTTTAACGGCTTGGTAAGTTATTACCGACGTTTTATTCCTAATTGTGCTTCTCTAATTCAGCCATTAACCGATCTCCTTCGAGGGAACAACAAGGCTATCGAACTCGACACGTCTGCTCGACATGCTTTTACTCAGGTAAAGAAAGCTATTGCAGA